TATATATATATAGGGTTGACCACTAGGTTAATTGAGAGAAAAATTATTATGTGCGAACATCGGACGGTGTTTAGAGACTAACCAGAACGAGCCACGCACTTTTTTTTTAGATATCGCTGTGTACCGGGTGACGTGGCGCATTCTGGTTCCTCATCGGACCGTCCAGTGGCCGCACTGAATAATTTCTCTAATTGAGGAGATTGGATTGATTTGATGCGACCCATTGAGTAAGGAATTAGACCAATCCAAGTTTAATGTTTGGAACCTTTGGGAAGTGTCTTTGGGCTAACATAGGAGAGCTATGTTCACTAAAGCTTATATCATGCCATGGGATCTATGGAAAAATGGAATATAACCCTATTGTTCTCATTTTCAATATGAAAAGCATATCAAAGGAAACTTAATAACAGTTATAATTTCCTTGATAATCTAACACCTGTACAAAGTAAATAGAGAAACAAGAACACAAATAGAACAATATAAAAAATAACATAACATAATATTATAAAGAAAGCCCTTATAACATTTCTTATAACGAACGTTAATATTTCCCACATCAAAACTTCCACCATGACATGATATGCACATACAAAACTTGCATGTTTAACAGGTAATTAAGATATTTAACATAACATGAACAAACTTTAATTATGGTACGTACAATATTTTAGAAGACAATGCATATGAAATTTACGTACAACCCACCCTTGGTTATTTTGAAAATCATTCATGGAGGATATCCATAACATCATTTTAAAGCATTTAATAAACAATAACCAATGCCAATAATCACACATATAAAAATATACTCAATATTTTGTACATACATAATTAATTGATCGAATTTGACTTTTGTACTGTAAAATACTCAAAATGAAATATTATACAATATACCTTAAAACTACATGATTTAAAAATAAATAAAATAACATTTTATTTTATATATTTTCATATAAGCATCAAAATTGAATTCAAAAATAGGGTACTGGAAGCCTACATTGAGTTGGATGCTTTCCTTAACAGGCTTGATGGACGAATCCCGCATCTTGGCCTCCAAAATTCTCTCTCTTCTCCATCTTTCGACGACTAAGGTTTCGTTTGGGACAATTTTCTTACTGTTTCTTAGAGCAACTTTTTAGTACAAAAAATTTATTTTATTTACTAAGGAAATGGATTTGATATTTTATACATTAAAATTTCATTTCTAATTCAACATTGTGACACTCCTCTTCCTAGTGCCTCTTGAATATTTGAGATACTCTTAGACAAAGGCTCATAGCGGCATCGCTCTCTTGAATATTCGAGATACTCCTAGACAGAAAGCTCAGTGTCAAAGCGCTTTCACCAGCACCACCGTGTTCCTCAAATTATCATCTCAATATATAGAGGTAAGCACTGCAACACCACCATGCATACACCGCTACGCTCTCTCAGCCACAATTCTCCAAATAAAAAGGCTAGGGTCGCAATGCCACCACATACATCACCACAGTGCTCCCAATGAGCTTTATTCACTTAACCTTTCTACCATTTTCTAAATAAATCTTAGATTATATAAATGAAAATAAGCACGCAATAACTTGTAATTCATAAACATTTAGCATATATAAGAGTATACATGAAAATCTTACCAAATTTGAATTAGGTGAACTTGTTTTTCGTAGCTACAGTTATTCTAGAATAGTCGGGGTGGTCCAAATTTTAGACAACCTGAGGGTTAACTTATGTTTATAAATAAAATAGCCTATGTTTCACTAGTACAAGTTTTGATGATTATGTATAAACTTCAAGTGTGTGTGCTAGAGAGTCAAAAGTGGACAAACCATATATCAAATAAGGATAGGGACATTGTATATAACCTAGAAGATGTATTATTGGATACTAAACTAGATAAGTATAAAGTTTGTGTACTTGTTAGGTTAGTAACATCATCAAAGGCAATATTTGGGTCATAAACAGGTTAGTATGTCTCAAGACAATAGATCCAATATATTGTAAAATATCTAAGTTAGAAACCAGAAGAATGTCCAAAGCTCATGGCATATAAAGCCAACTCGGACTGGCTCATAACCCTATTATATGTAACAGAGAGTGAGTAAACTAATGAGATATGAAGTAATATAGAGAAATATGATTTAACCAATGCTAGTCACTAAAACAATGACCACAACCCCCACAAAGTCTCAACATAGTAATGACATGACATAAAGGCCACATGTATGAGTGTGAAAGTCATCAATTAGACCTATTGAGAACATGCAAGGTATAAATGATTTGATTGTCAGAACTGCAAATAAAAATGGTCCTAACAAAAAGCCCCTAACATGTGTAGTGAACGATTGCCAAATATCTTACACATGTGTTGGAGAATATGATAAGACATAGAGTGATGCATATAGAAAAATATTGTATTTATGTCCCATAATATAAAGATAAGAGAAATGAAAACAAAGCTTATAACTTATTAAAAGAAATACTCTCAAATTGAAAGAATTTTCTCATAAGATCTATGGTAAAGACCAATTTTAAAATGAGGTTCTTTACTATATTTTATAATACATAATTAATTATGAATAAATTATCTAGTTAATTGATATAATTAATCAATATGAAAAGAATTTTCCAATAATTAACAGTAATAATTAAAATTAATTTTAAGGCTAAATTTATTTATTTATGACATGAAAAAGGTTTACCTTTAATTATTAATCAATTTACAAATATAATAAAATGTGTATCTATTTACATATATAACATATAATTTTTTATTTACTTTTTATAAGATCTTAGTATCTAAATCACATAAAATTATACATAAAAATGAGAATTTCACTTTATATAAATTAAGATTAATGATTTTTTATATGAATTAAAAAATAGACTTTTAAATTATTAAACATAAATATTTAAATACACAAGAATTCACTTTTATCAGTTTTATGTATGTAAACCCCTCAATTTATATATATATTAAATTAATTAAATATTAAATAAATTATAAACTTCAATACTTTTACTTTATAATTTTATTGAAAAAATATAACAATTTATTAATTTAATCGCTTACAATAACCATATATATTAATTATAAAAATAAAATAATCCTAATTTTTTTCTTTATTATTTGGTATGAGATTAATTTCTTCCATATGCTTATAAAAATATTTATTTTATTTTTATTTTTCTAGTTTAATTATAAAACTTTTATTTTAAAATTTATAAAAAGGGGCATTATTCCGTACAAATGCTCCGTCTCTGACGTCTCCCTTTAACCAAAGGCCGCCGTTAAAAAATCTAAAGCGGAAAAGGCGCTCACCGCGCCGACGGGACTTCTCGCCTTCAGGCGCGCAATGTTCGATTCCACTGGTGACGAACCCTAGCTTTCTCCAGGTAACAGTGGTTCCGTTGCTCTAGTTCTAATCGATAGTGGTCTGTGAACAACTGCTTTTCCATCAAATTTTGTTTCCTTTGCTTGAATCTCTGGTTTTGTTTGGATGGTTTAGTTGTAAGGGATGTTTGGTGTGCGGCGGTTGTATATTCAGTTGCTCCGCGGCAAATGAATTTGATGGAGATATTAGGGTTTTGGTTTGTTTGGTTTTCTTCTAGTTCTGTGGCTTTATGGCCTTTTTTTAGGCTTGATGGATTGATTGGGGAATAGGTTTTGATTTTATTCTCTTTCTCGTGGAAATCTGAAGATGTCTTCTAAATTTCTTTTCATTTTACTGTAGCGTCGGGTTGTTCGGAAATTCAAAATTGGTGTTTGAAAATAGGGCACTGATGGGCGTTGATTGGAGGTTCAGTTGCTTCTTTTTGGAGGGAGCTCGCGTTAGATGGGAATATATGGGGTTTTGCTTGGTAGAGTTTTGAGCGAGTCGCTAATTAACTTCTTCGCCTCCTTCGACGACGTTCCTTTGTGTCGGATCCGAAGTCACACTTCCTTGCCGTTCGTCTGTTGGATTAGAAGTAACGAGGACGACGGCAGCTTGCTCGTTGCGAAGGTCGCCATCTTTATTCCTTTCGCGCGCTTATTCGGCCAAATCCGGTAAATCCGCCGAACTCCCGGATATAGTAAATCCGAGATTTATTGCGAAGAGAGGGAAACGGATGATTTAACTTGCTGTTTGATTTAACAGTTCCTGTTTGGTAGGATGCTAGGATTTAGCACAAATCCTGTATCCAAACAGTCCCTTATTTTGCTTTTGATGCGTTCACTAGGGAATTTAATGCTTAATGAATTTTGACCTTACTCGTTTTCACTGGCATCTCAGCCTTAATTACTTTGAAATATAGCATTTTCAATGTTATTCATGGAATTTCTCAAATCACACTCGACCACCTCTTCTGCTTGTTAGACTGTTTGAGAAGGCGGTCCAATAGTAAAGGCTATTGTTTTTCACAGGAACTGATCGTGAAATAATTTGAACTCAAGATTGGATGAAAACTGTGGGAAGTCAATGACGTTTTGTTTTGTCAATTTGATTTTGGTTTAGCTAACTACATCACGTTAGGTTTCATTCACAGTTTATGTTTTGGTTAATGTTGAGAATTTTTATGATTTTGGAGTGGTTTTTGTTTTAGATTCCCACTAGGATCAATGTTGACATGGATGTATTTGTTTATTATTTTTCATTAATATGCGATGAATTTTATATGCGCACGCACTTGTTTATGAAACCTCAATTACCATATTTTTGAAAACATTCATCTGTGATGATTCCAACACATATTTTCATTGCTCTTTGATGCATCCTGTACAAAAGAATAAGTTGATAAATTTTTTCTTTGATGTTGTTGGCTTTATGAGCTTTTAAGGCTTCTTCAGCTCTTAATTTACTAAGTTCTTACCTCATCATTTTTTTCCATGCTTATTACTGGCTTTATTTCTTTTTTATCTACTAATGCTTATTTCACTCATATTAAAATCATATGGTTTGCTTGGTAAAATGAAAATTTGTTAATCAACACGAGTTTATTTAAATTTTTAATGTTTTTAAGTATACATTGATTATTAATATATAATTGATCATTTTCATGTTGTTTTTGGCCATGAGTTCTTTCCAACTCCTAAGTTAAGTGTTTAATCTTCAGTTTCCGAATGAGTAGCAGTATTTAGTTTGCTGTTTTACAGATTGGCTAGATTAGCTTAAAGGAACTCATTGTCATTAAGCCTATTTACCAATGAACACCTTTTGTATACCTTAACTTGTCGCAATATCATAGAAAATTTTTGGTATAAATGTTTATATATTTCCTTTCCCTTGTACTTTGCTTTGACCTAGCTACCACGTAATGATTTAAGTGACTTGTGCTACTATTATGAGGTTCCCATGGGTTATTATGGAATTTACAAACATTGCTAGTAAATTTAAAATATAGGGGTTTAGGTTTGGCGAACCTTTTGAACCAGATCTATTGCTATGTGCATAATATACACAATCTTAAGAAAATCTTCCCATTGTAAGAAGGGAACCAAGTTAATGTAGAAGCCAGATGTATGGCTTCCATATTGGACCTACCTGACATGAATTGACATGAATTCAAACTGATTTTGAGAAACAATAATATCATGTTGGAACCTAAGCTCAATTACTCTCTCCCATAATTTTAATATATGATGTATTTACTTAATTCCTCTATAATTCACACTCTTGTGCATCTCCTTTATTCTTAAAAATATGAATCAACAAACTCTTTTCGCCACTCGTCTGGCTTCTTTTTAGTCTTAAAAATAATATTAAAGAGTTTAGTAAGCCAAAAATTTCCTTGAAATAATATTATAAAAAAATTAAAAATAATTTTATCGAACACTAAAATGAAACATATATTTTGTGGATGCATGATCTAAGTGGATGAAATGAGCTAACCTGAGGATCGATGAAAGTTAAACTAATGTGTCTAAGGTTGTCTCAGTAGGGTCAGTTGGTTGGACCTGGATGTAGGTCTAAAGCTTATTCAACTCGTGCGGGGTTGGATTTCATTTGATGCTTTGGTTCCTATTTTTTTCATGATATGCTTATTTGTATTTTAGCTTTTGAATTGGTCTATACTTGTATTTAGGAATTTGTCTTCAAAAATATATTAAAAGTTGACAGGCTTCTTGAAATGTAAGGATATTTCTTCTTCTAAATTCTTTCAATTAGTTAGGATTTGGTTTCTGCTTTTTATATTATAAATATGAGTCAGTTGATGCAATGCAGATCATACCTTTACTTTTCAAATTTATAGATTTGAGATTATTCCCAACTTTCTTTACCAACCTATTAATCTCTCTCATCTGGGATCAAATCAGGAAAGGGATGGTCAATCTGATTTTTAGCTCAAAGAAGCCCATTAGAAGAAGCTATCATCATAATTTGGGCATTAGATCGTGAAGGATTAGGAGATCAAGATAACTAGTTCTAAATTATACGGTTTCTTGATTGTGACAACATTAGTGGTGTTTCTCATATCATATGTTTAAAATTTAAGAGGTCATCACCAAGAGTTCATTGATGCGATCAATTGTGAGTCATAAGAACTTCTTCAGGTATTAAGTCATTAACAAAAAAAAAATGAGTTTTGAATTACTTATTTATTGTAGTGGATTATTTCGATAAGATTGTCCGCCTAATTTCATATTGGCAGACCATCAAAAGTAAAAAGATTGCAAAGCTATTTTTTAGCAAGTTGGGCAACTTTTTAGGTTTCCTTTAGACAAGGATACTTTGTTTCTTCTTAATTTTTAGAAGGCCCTTTGGAGTTTTATGGAAATCAAGCTGAAGTAAAGCATTGCCTTTCATCCATAGGCATGGGTTGACAAAGGTGGTAAATCAGAGGATGGTTCATATGTTGAGGAGTTGGATGGTCCATATGTCGAGGAGCTACAACTCCTGACATCCAAAGGATTGGGATTAGAGTCTTCCATACAAGCAATTTACCTTCAATTGAGTTGTCCATGAGTTAGCATCAAAGGCACCTTTTCCTGTGTTGTTGTGGAACTGAATAATAATTGTGAAGAGCAGGAGGTGCAGCTTGCACAACTATTCATATAAGGAATTTGTTAGATCGGCTAGGATGTGAAACACACCTAAAAATTTCACAAGAAATATATGAAACTCATCACAACAAGCACATGATTGAGTGCATTTTTCTAGGAAGATGACATGTTTTAATTTCCTTCAGGGAAGGATAGATTTAAAAGTGATGGTCGAAAAATCAAGTTCATTCATTTTGAGCTTTGTTGAAGTCTGGTGAAAACACATTTCGGTAAAATCTACCTTTGATGTTGAAGGCTTGCTAAGAAGAAGCTCCAGGAAAAGGAAGAAACTAAGTATAACCAAAAAATGAAAAAAAAAATAAAATAAAAAATATATATATATATATATTCTTCATTTTTCTATTTCTTACCGTTCGTAAAATAGTTGAAACCAAAAGCAAACCTAAAGCAATAGCCAACTCGATGGAGCGGAGCAGGAGTGGCGCGAGCATTATAGAAACAGGGAAACAGAGCTGGAAAAATTACTTGCTATGCAAAGTAAAACTAAATAAGTATTAATGCCATATAAGTAATGCTAAACTAATTAAAGAGAGTAAGCATAATTGTAGCCCAATCTAGCTGAACTGCGATTTCTGCATCAACCTTCTTACATGAGGGTTTAACATGTTATAAATATTGTGAATATGAAGTTACTGTCATTATTGGGTGATGTGGAGGAACATTAAAGGATGATACAATTAATGATCTCAACATTGTATTATGGAAACAAATATTACATCATTGCGAGGGGTTAAAAGGGGACTCTCGAGCGAAAGAAGCCAAAATAGGGAGTTTTGATAAGAGAGACAAGTTCCAGAACAAGACAAATGGTATTCAATGGAAGATGTTGTTCTTTGCTTCCCCCATCTATTATTATTCATAGGAGCGAATAAAGACAAAGGACAGAGTTTTGATCTAGGCTATTCAAATCAGTTGGCCCAAGTAGTTGAAGGCCGATCCCTTGGGGGATTGAAGGTTGGAATTAGATTCAAGTCCAAGTTTTGTTGGTCCCATGCCAAGTTGAATTTCAGTTGAATATTTAATTCTCATCATTTTCCTCATCCACTCCTAGATTTTAGTGTTTTGAATTGGTGTTTTCTTGTATTTAAGAATTTGTTTTCTACAATCTAGAAACGTTAAACTTTTTGAAAATTAAGGAGATTTCCTTACGTTGATTTAACAATTAGCTAGGATTTGAATTCTACCTTTCTATTAGAAATAGTAGTCATTTGATCTTGTGAAAATCAGAAGTTGAGATTAACCCTTTCTCTTTCTCTCTCAACTGCCCTCTCTCCCTCATCACCTCTCTCCCACAATCTGTTGGCTGCAAGCATTGACAGCAGTTGGCCGGCCTCTCTTCTTACACCAGGGGCCATCAGGATTGGTGTGCTCACCAAGCAATTTATTTTTACTTCGGACCGTTCTGATTTCCTAAATTCTGTGTAGAAACAGTAATTTTACAGCATGGACGGGAAGCTATAGGCTATAACTTTTTGGAGAGATATTCCAGCAATTGTGAAGGATAACAGGAGAAGAATAATCTGCAGTTCTGCCATATACTCTTTTACAATTATGCATGTATGACTGTTGGATTAATAACCAATTCTAATTGCTTGATTCCTTTAAATCTCTGACAGTGCAAGTGTTTGGAAATAAAAAAGTGGTGGTTGAAAATGCTTCATTTTGTAGAACTTTTTCATACTTTTCTTTGCTAATAATTCATTAGGGAAATTCTCTTTGGAAATACTTACTGCTCTTTCTATAACATCTTGAGAACAACAAACACACTTGAGAAACACCTCCATTTATATATTTGCATGGTTTTTTTAATTTTATGTTAAACACCAATAGCACATTAACACATCATTACCAGACATGGCCCAAGGGTAATAGAAACGAGTAAGGTAAGATACATGTGTGGTAGAACTTGGAAGGAGTTAAAAATGATTTTTTTAGAGATGTCTGTGTATGACTTATTTAGGATATGGTTGTAAAAAAGATTTAGATGTTTTGAGTATGGCAAATGAGAGGTAGAGATAAACCAATAATGTGGGCGGATGGAAATTTTATGAAAGGCAAATGAAGTAACGGCAGGTAGATCAAAATAACATGGATAAAAGCTATGAAAAAATTTCAGTAGTCTAAAATTAAGGCCACATTTAAAACTCAACGGAAGGGAGAACAAGGATTCAATAAAGTTAATCCAACTAGTTCTGAAAATGATTATGATGATCATAGTTGCAACTTATTTTTTTAAATGCTATTTTTTGTTAATTTTTCTTATAACTTCATGGATAATGGCATTACTTTTATGTACACATTTAATAAAGGTTTGTGATTTTATCTTAGCATTTCTTTCAAGGTGGAATTGATTGCATCAACTTAAAGATAAAAATGGCATTTTTGTTAAATTTTCTTTTAACTTCATGGATAATTACTAAGTTGGGATTGCTTTTATGTATACACATTTAATAAAGGTGTGTGATTTTATCTTAGCATTTCTTTCAAGGTTGAAGTGAATGCATCAACTTACTTAAAAAATCAACACGCATATGGAAGTTTAGTTCTCTTTTCCATATTGTTGAAAACATTAATCATGTTCATTTTTTTCTAAAATATGTTTCAATAATTCTTTCTCGTACTTTGAAATAGAACATTTTAATTCTCCTATCTTCTTCATCATCATCATTATTAGCATTATCATGACTAATATGGGTTAGGTTTTTGAATCTTTTATATGCATTCCTTCTTGCTTAGCACTACATGAGTATCGAATCAATTTTGCATATTTCATTTTACCCATCTTCTGAGTTAACTTTAATATGCTCCGATTTTTCTTAGTCCATCAAAGATTAATTTTATTTATCCATCTTGTTGGTTAATAATATGCCATTCATTATACTTGCTTTGATCATCTATTACTTTCCACTGACATATGATACTCTCATTGCCTTGTTAATATAATTAAATTTTAATCGAATCTTCTTAATTTTACAACATATTCATCTAAGCATTTTTTTCCTTGTATTTTTCTATGAATGACCTTTTTGTTGCCTAACATTTAGATCTACAGAACATAGCTTGCATAATTATAGCTTTGTTTGTCTTCATGATCTCTTTTTGATTATTCAGTTGGGGCTTCTCTATTTAAGCAACATAGGCTTATCTAAATCACCAATATTCTACGTAATAGTTCCATGATAGTTAAATCTACCGCACCATGGTTATATTTTCTCCTTTTTTAATATTAGCAAAGAAATAATAATATTATATCCATAGAAATAACATTATTATATATTTAGTATTTGTTCTACTAATTATAAGCTTTTATCTTCTATACATTTTCTCCATAATATTTAACTCTACTTATTTCAACAGAAGTATCATTGAAAGAAGTTTTCATTTGCATAAAGCATACAACAATGTCCTTCACTTCAATGTTCCATGTTAATGCCTCATTGTTTATACAAAAGGATATTGAATTATTGCCTATTTTTCCATTTGCCTAAACCATACAACTGTCTTTCACTTACACGTCTCATGTAAATGCCTTATTACTTACACAAAAGGACATTGAATTAATGTCTATTTTTGATATGAATCTACTGGGACTTTAAATGACTTAGTCGCTCATAGATATCTTTAATAACTTCAACACAGCTTGACAAACATCTTTTTTTTTTATTAAAAGAAAAAAATATCAAAATGGTCCCTTGACTCTTTATGAAAGATCAAAAGAGCCCCCCAACTATATTAAAAGACCATTGTGGTCTTTCAACTCCTTAAAGAGCAACAAAAATAGTCTCATAATGGGACTATTTTGATTCTTTCTTAAAGACTTAAGAGATCAAAACAATCCTTTAATATAGTTGAGAACTATTTTGGTCCTTCATAAAGAGTCGGATGACTATTTTAGTCATTTTCTCTTTTTATTAATGAGCACCAAATCAATTCTTATGGTACTTGGACATTTCTTCTCAAGATGAATACAAATCACATGAAGATATTTGCTTTCTCTTTATGTTTTTTTTATTAACTGGTTTATCAAAAAAATCACATCAATAGTGAATCGTCTTTGGCGTAAAACCAAACTTATTCTTTGATAGTTGTGATAAAGCTAATGAAGATGATGGTGATGATTTATTTCTTTGATCTTGCAGGTGTGATATTAGTAGATAGTAAGGGGAACCAAGAGAGATAATGGAGGATGGGGAAGGTTCAAAGAACGTCCTAAGAGAGGAACATAAGAGCTTATTCAATTTGGACCTTCAAATGAAAGAAAAATTTTCATGCATAGATGGTCTAAAATCTTTGAAGAACAAACAAATGGATGTTCTCAGAATTACAGCTGATGACCTTGATACAAAGATTCCTCAAAATATAGCTGTGGCTGATGCTAGAAAGGATTTAAAGTCAGAAGGATTGCTTGTTATTTCAGATGGCAGTGAAAGTGATTCCGTTGCATTGCTTGATGATGATTCTGATGTTGAAGAAACATCATTATCAGGAAATGATGATGAGAGGATTTCGGAGGTCAGTAAGATAACATTTACTTAACAATATAATCATATTAATCTTTGCCCATTTTGTAATTATTTAAAGAGTGCTAATTATTCTATTATTTGTTCTGAATAATGAACGTGCTTTTTGGCCGCAATAACTCTTTAGTTTGCTAAAACTCTATCTATATTATGCATTATTGCTAGATGATACAATAACAACATTTAATTTATTCCAAAAGAAGTATTATATAGTTTATTATGATAATTTTTATCCGCATCTCCAACTTTCATTGATATATATTTCCTAATTTTGTAATAATGTTTTTTCAAATCATTGTATTAGTTGTATCATACAATTATGATTTTTCTGGCATTATGGTCTGTGTGTGGCAGTGGTAGCCTGGTAGGCATTGTGTATGGGCACTATGCTCTAAAAGAGGGTCATGTAGGTTAATGTTGTTTTGCTGGTCTATATGATAATTAAAACTATATTTAACTAAGGCACGAAAATGGTGGTTCACTATTTAAATGCACTATGAAGTGCACCTACGTAAATGTTATAGTGTCCATTTAATTTTGAGTTTCATCTTAACTTCGCTTTAGTTATATTGCAAAATTTAAACGTTTTCTCTTTATGCATAATATTAACTCTATGATTTTATTGAAACGACAACATAATTGCTTTTTCACAAAACATCATAACCATGATGCGTAGGGAGTGGTCAACTTATTGATTCTTGTAAGTCTGTCATAAAAATAGATGTTGTTGGTACTTCCTTCTAGTTTAAGATCATCTTGAAGGCTTCTCTTCATGTCAACTACTTCAACATATGATGTCATACCGATTAGGAGGGCCTTGACTTAAGTTGTCATTTCTTACATCCTAGTCATGTTGATTAGGACATCCCCCAGAGATTTCGACATACTTACCATCGGCGGAATCATAGATCGACGACTACGATTCATAGTCTCTATTTATGATGTTTTTGTGCATTTCTTTTATTTATTTATTTAGTTTTTCACTTGTACCCCTATGAGGGATTTGTATCATGTTGTAGCCAGAGGGTATTTGTGTCTTTTACATTTTGTGCTTTGAGGCCTATATATGAAGGCCTAGTCATTGTATTATTTTCTAATGATGATTATGAATGATAATTTCAGATTTCTTGGCTTGATCTCTAAGTGAGTTCTTGAGAGGATAAACCCTAGGTGAGGGTGAAAGCAATACCCGTCAACCTTTGGAGGATTCCAAGGTTCGCGGTTCTACGATTTCTTCTTTCTCTTATACTTTCACACCAATCTCACTCAACCACCCACCGACCTCCTCTTCCCGTTTCCCCATCCCATCCCAAAACCGAGATCCCCTTCCCCACGCTGCCGGCCTCACTTGGCCGCCCCACCCGGCGGCCACCACCCTTCCAGCCGCCGTCCTCCAAAGCCCCATCCGCCCCACTCCACAAATTCAAACCGCCAGCCTTCCCATGGCTCCCCAAATTTGAATTTCAAATTTCAAATTGCCTTTGATTACCTTCCTAAAATGCACCCTTGCTAATTAGAAAATGATATTTATTTGAATTCAATAAAGTGAATAAACTTTTGAATTTCAAATACCTTCCTATTAGTAAAATCCCAATTAAGAAGCTATCCTAATTTTAATCAAATCTAAAATTGAAAATCAGATTTGATTTCAATCCAATTAATTCCCTTGGGCCCACATACATTGAATCTAGACATTCTCCCTCCATCCTCTTATGGCCGGCCCCTTCTCCTTGCTTTTCTCTCTCCAATTTAACCCCAATCTCATTTAATATTCTCCCAATCCCCTCCTAAAATCGCCGGCCCCCTCATAAGTTTAATTTGAATATTTTGAATTCAAATTAAGCTTCTTCCCTCCTATTAGAAAAATATGAAATTGAATTCATAATTTTCTAAATTAATTCTCCACCACTCAACCAATCCCCATCACCCCACTTCACCTTGCCCAAGCCACCCCTCTCCTCCACCCGCCACCCTCACATTCCGTTTGTTTTCTCTTGGCCGCCCCTTCCCCTTAGCGGCTCCTCCAAAGTATATCACCAAGGTACTCCCATGTTCATGCATGGCCGATCCGGATGTTGATCATGGATTCGTTTACAATTCTCAACAGGAAATTGACATCATTCAATCACCTTTCTTCGATCCCGGATTTGGATCCGAAGGCACTGTCGAGGAATACGTGGAGCGCATTCTCTTTACTTTGGTGGATGTCATCGACGAGCAACAACCTACATGACAGTGGAAGATCACTAGATGACCATCCGTCTCTTCGACTCCGGCCAACTCTCCGTTGATCAAAACCGCCGACATCCTCGTCTTTTATTGGCATCCCTTGGCTTGCTAACCTTTGTCCTCTGCTAACCCTACTTCCAAAGAGCGGTCGAGAGGGAAACTCTAAGGTGAAAGTTCTAATTGTTAAGTGGCAGATTTGTTTTACTATTTTCTAGTCATTAATTGGATCGCTCTGTTAATCTAACGTGTAACCGCATGCTTGAAGCAAGTCAATAACCACAAAAATTGAAAGTCTTAACTTAGTGAAACATTAATCCTATAATTTCATTGCTAAAATAAGTTTCTTATTAAATCTTGCAATTCCTTTGTTTGTTTCACATTACATGTCTCCCACCTAAGGGGATGAAGCCCATTTTCATTGTTCTTAATGGGCCAATGCGCTATCCTGCCAAGGTTTCTCATGCTATTGAGATTGAAGTGCCTCTTAAGAGTGTTTCAATCATCTTTAGAGTCATTTTCGTCACTCCAATCATGAAATGAAGGTTTCTAAACCCAAATTCAATGTTTCCATGAAAGGAAGGGCAAAATTGAGGCTTCGCACCTATGATTCTGTGCACAATAATAAAAAGAAACATATGAATTCGGATGTCATCCAACATCATGCTTGAGTTAGTGAGATGTACAACAACATCAATCAGCTTCCGATCAATTAAGCCTATCAACATTTATCTTATATAATTCTTGATCAGGTAATCCTTCAGCTGTCATAGATCCACCAGTAGTGGCAAGTGGTTTGGTTTAGGCTTGACTTTTTTTTTTGGTCTAAACTGGCATATTTGGTTTGGTTTGGATTTTGCTATTTTGTAAAGTGAAATAAACTTAATTGATTCAATTTAGCATTATATTTATATATAAATACATACATATTGTTGTTGTTATCTTATAACAATCTCAGCTAGAGAATCCTCCAGTTTTTATAGACAACCAGTAGAGGCAAGTGGTGCATAAAGTTGGCCCTTTAATAATTGTACTAGGCTACTAGCCTCTTAACTACATGTGGAAGATTGAAGCCTGGATGGAAGGGAACTAATCCATAGCTTTTTTTTTTCATATGGAGGCCATAACAAAGAATCATATTGAAGATTTGAATAACAAAAAACTTATGTAGGTACCATGACAATGGAATGTGTCAATGCATGTGGTGTTATGCCACTAACATAGATACAGGTTACCATGTGTAGGGGTTTGTAACAAAACTATTAATCCGCAAATCTGAACCAAATTGGCTGAACTAATTCATTCTTGACTTTTTGTCTAAACTATCATATTCGGTTTAGGTTTTGAGTTAAATTAAACTGAATCAATTTAGCATAATATATATAATTAAAAATTATATCCTAATTTCTGTTACCTGCATCAGTTCAATTAATCTTGGAGCAATCACAACCCTGCTTTGTATTGTTGTTATGAAACCTTATAGATGTTTTAATAAACCATCAATTTAGAGTAAACCAGTTGAACGAGAGTAGACCAAGTCATTGAGAACCCTTTAAATCAAACCTACCATATTTGACAGATCCAAAATTGAAAAATTGATTCTCGAAACCAAATAAATGTATTTAGATAATCTTAGAAAAGTCGACCCATAAAGGCACATGCTTATGCTTAAATTATTTAATTTCCAAGTGGAAATAGCAATGGTGTTACTTTTGAAGTAGTCTTTAGCTCAATTGTTTTTAGGTTTCTGTATTTAACTGGAGTTTACAATATTTACTGATGCATGTATATTTTTTTATATTTATTATGTAGATTTCTTGTGTTTAGTATTACTCCGTCAAAAATATGATTTAAGAGTATTTCTTATTTACCCATGCTATTTATAACTTTTAGGCACCTTTAAGTGATGCGGAGATTGAAGAATTAGTTGTGGAGTTTCTTGAAATTGAGAGCAAGGTATTTTTTTTCGTTGTCTTGTCTCTTTGTTTTCTCCATGGTTGTGTTCCTCTCTTGTCCATTTCTCATCCTACTTTTTAGGCAGCAGAAGCTCAAGAATCACTTGAGGAAGAGTCTCTCGCTCGAGTTGAAAAAGATGTAAGGGAAGAATTCTCCCAAAATCTTCATGGTGATGCGGTTGGAACCTTTTCCTAAACTATATTTGCATAAATTGTATCAGTATGAATTCTATGTAACTGAAATATTTATAAAGCTTTTCAATCTTTCGTGTAGCTTGATCTCGCAGTATCGACTGAAATGCAAACATTCAAAGAAGAATGGTTGGCTGTGCTTGATGATCTAGAGACTAAGAGTGCTCTGTTATTGGTGGGTATCTTTCTGCTGCTTCAGCTATTGTTATTTATGGTGAAACTGTATTGTTTATATGCATATCCATGTTTTTTTTTGTAATTTTATATCTAAAGTTTTGGTAGTATGAAGTGTTGGGAACATCCTCTATATTCGAAATATGACGTTCTAGGAGCATTGCAATCTGCAACTCAAATGGTCCCTTATGAAGTCTATTTGTCTAATTTGTGCGCCTTGTGAGCATGTTGGGATCCATGAAGACAAGTTCTCCAATGTTCCTCTAGACTTTTATCTTGAAGTTATTGGAGAGACGTAACTCCTATTATATTGCTAATCAAAAGTTTTAGCTTTTTCTCATCTTATATATAATTTCAGGGAAATATAATCTGTGTGCATATTTTGATAAGTGTTTGCTGATTTTTTCTTAATTTAAATTAGTGCTTGCCGTAAATTGGTTTTAACTGAGCCCTTGCTTTGTTGTATTGTAAGATTTCTGTAAATAGGTACTGATTATAGGTGCTAGCTTTTGCAGCTAGATACTGTAATGTAGCAAAATATTAATGGATCATTGATTTACAAGTGGTTGTAACAAGACAAGTTTGACTGAGCTTTAGTTCAAGTTCAATAAATCCTATTCTAGCTAGGCTCATTTGTTATCAAGCTGGATATATATTCAATATGAATTATATGTCAAATCAATGATTATGCATGAAAATTTTTTTTATCGATGGTTTAAATTGCATTAGAAAATTGTGATTTTAAAGGCATATAGTCTTTTTTTTTTGTGGAATGGTGAGGGACGAATCATGACTTTGATGTAGGCATAATTCGAATTTACAACTTTGGACAACAACTTTCAAGATCATTTTAAAAAAGCATATGCATCTTGTTCAATAGCTATTTGCAACTTCGACCATCGCCTCGAGCTTTTTTTTATGAGGCTTGTGACTCAACTTGGCTATTTATAATTTAAATAATAGATACAAAGCATATTGAATTTCCTCGTTTATTGTTGGGCATTATACTTTGCTGCTCTCTCAATACATAAGTTACAGTTAGGATGAAAATAAGTATAATAGATAAATAAGAATAAACATGCGAAGTATTTGTTGATCCCAAAAATGTTCTGTAGTATTTCTGCTTATTGCTGCATATGCTTGTGAGCTATGCCTTACGTGATGTATGTTTAATGTTTTGACGTCTACATATTTTTGGTGGACTGAAGTAGGGTTCTATGTAGAGTCAGATCAATGAACGGACAACTCAATGGGGGCAACTCAGCAGTGCTTGGGCCATGTTCTAACCTTGAACATGCATCACTATCCTGCAATAGCTATGATAGAATGAAAATATATTAAGTGGCTAGTCATAAATATATTTATGAGTTTTAGCTTATACAGAAATTTAGTTATATTGTATAGCTAATTTTAACTTTGCATTCTTTAATTTTCTACCACCATGTTTGGTCCTGGTCGTAGAGGGCGAGGTGCGACCCACCCTTTGATATTTCTTGCAAGCAACAAGGCTTTATTCCTTTTAAATGCACCAGTATTAAGCATCTTTTTTAAATTGAACCACATGAGTGTGATAGGGATTTCTAATGGGTAATTGTGGCTTTGTGAGTTTGTAGCTAGAAATATAAGTGTCTTAATGTGTCCTAAGTCTATAAATAATCCCTATTAAGGAGAAATTGAAAATGAATGAAATGAATTTAGACCTTTTCCCCTTGTTATTCTTCTGTTTGTGTCTTCTTCCTCCCAATTTCTGAAGTTCCACCAACTTTAAATTGCCATTTATTGTCATGTTTTGTCATCGAGTTCTTATAATTACCTCTCATTTCTTGGCATGATCTTAGTTCGTTTATCTACTTATGTTGTAACTGTATGCACTTCCATCATGCTTGAATTGAAAACTTGAAATGAACCTTTCTTTTTAAGTGATGCATTTGGTTTGTCACTAACTCTGAGATTTTCAGCTTTACTGCCCAAATTAGACTAGGACTTTATTGGGATGCACTGGGTTAGTTGAATTTGAACTTATTTGGCTTTAAATGCTTGGCAATAAGTCTAGGATGGTGGGAGAGAGATTCTCCCCGCATAGTAAAGCTAGCATTGCAAACTAAAATATCTTGGCAGCTTGGTTGGAATTGAACCAGCTTAGATTGCTTTCCAGCTGACTTGGCTATTAGCAAGAACTTGGAATGACTTTCAGCAAAATTTAAAATGGTGGGGCTGAGATTTAATGAAAAGTTTGTTAAAATTTCTTGAATTCTTATGGAAACCAGGTTTCCTTCCATGTTATCTTCTTTTTACCATGAATTGACTCTTTAGCAATGCAACTTCTTGTAGGAGCAACTTGATGGTGCTGGCATTGAGCTCCCTGCTTTGTATAGGTGGATTGAAAGTCAAGCTCCTAATGGTTGTTGTACTGAAGCTTGGAAGAAGAGGACCCATTGGATTGGTTCTCAGGTTTCTAATGAAGTCAACGTATCTGTTAGGGAAGCTGAAGAAGACCTCCAATCTAGTCATCCTGTACTGAAGTATGTCTTTATGTTACATTTTCCAACAGCTTGCATGTGTACCCGTTTACCTCCTCTTTGATTTTCTTCCATCTTGGTCAGGCAACGTGGTAGATTGTTGGAGGTTGGTGCTAGTGGATTTCTGGCAAGGAAGTTCTCTGATGGAGATAAGAATGATATAACAGATTGGAGTTCATTCAATGAGCTTATTCAGTCACAGAGATGTCCTGAGGGTACTTCATTTGGCAGCAAGAACTGGGCATCTGTTTACCTTGCAAATACACCCCAACAAGCTGCTAACTTGGGGTTAAATTTTCCGGGTGTTGATGAGGTAGTATCATAGAGCCTGCATTTTTTTATTAGTCTATTGTTTACAATCTTACCTGCCATTGGTATGCTATTGTTTACTTGTTATATCCTCTCGATCACTTCCATCCTTGAGTAGATCACTGGAAATTCATGCATGTCAATTTAGTCATCCTTGGGAAATGGTCACAAATTGTCTTTATTAAGCAATTTTATTAGCATTATTTTGTGGATACTTTTTCATTTTCATCCCGTGGTGTTATATTTATTTTCCAAAGATTTTGGAAAATGGATAATTGGATAGAAAATTGTGAACCATCATATTGGCCCAAAATATTGGACATTGTGTATGTGATGCAGGACTACGTAGGAATGCAATCAATTCATTAGAAATTTGCACAACTCTTGATTAGAATAAAATAAAAATAACTAGTAGCAGTTCAAACAACGAAACAAAACGAATAAGGGGTCACACCCGCTTAGGCTAAATCACATAACCAGAGATATGAAGCTTTCAAAATAAAACAAAAAAACAACACTATGCCAAATAGTAGTTTCAAGTAAAATTTCTAATCTAACAACGAGAGTTAATAAGCACAGAAGCACACTCAAAACCCTACATTTACTAAGCTTAGCATGAACAGGGAGAATCGTCCTTCGTGACTACAATCAAACGCAAGAGAAAGTTAGATTCAAGAAATATAATGAAAGGGGAAAAGAGAACCTCTCGTCAAGGAGCGGTGGAGATCCTCCACTCAACGCCTTCAAAATGCTCATCGATTGCTTTCACTAAAGTGTCTAGAATATGCTCTAGGTAGTCTTCGACGGTGTGGTCGATCGTCGTATTAACGTCGAAGAAAGTTGACTGAAGAATATCAGTGAAGCCGTCCTCGTCGAAGGTTAAGCCGTATTCAGTTTATGGATCCGCCATTCATAGAAGCTAGGTAATAAATCTCCTCCCGCCTTGATAGTGTTCTTAAGTATTGACGAAGAGAAAGAAGTTTCTCTTGCAAGTTGAGAGGGAGGAGAGCCAAGACAAAAATTTGAAATAAGTTTCAGATTTTGTAAGGGATGGAGAGTTAATGAGAGAGAGGATTTTGGAATTAATTTGAAAGGGGAAAGAGGGGAGGGAGGGGCGGCGGGAAGGGGTAAGTAGGACTTCAATTTGATTTAGTAAAAGTCGGCTAAGGAGAGGTGGCTGAAATTTGGAAATATTTCCAAGAGGAGCTAGAGAGGGATTTAGGAAATAAATCCAAAACTTTCTCTATAGGGGCCGGCGGCATGAGGGAGTAAGGGGAGCATTTAATGTGAATATTTAAGTCTTCTTAATTTGGTTTAAAGAATTTGGAAAGTAAATAATTCAACCCAATTTAATTTTCAATTTCAAATGGATTTAAATTAGGAACTTTCCTAAAATAGACTAACTAAATTAGGAAAAGGGTTTGAAGTTCAAATTTGAATAATTCGAAATTCAAATCAATCCCTAAATTAGTCCCAACCAAAATAGGAAATCTCAAGGAGGTGGGAGGGATGCTAGGGCCGGCGGCTAAGGGTGCTTGACCGGTGGTTTGGGGGAAACCGTAGATGGGTGGAGGAAGGGGGTTCGGGTGGTAGCTAGATGAAGGGTTGGATGTAGTCAATGGGGAGAGAATTACTTGAGAGGGTGGAAAGTGGGGAATGGCCGACGGTTTGGAGTGGAAGAAGGGATCAATGAGGAAGACAAGCAAAGTAACAAACCACGAACTCGGCCGTCTCCAAGGTTGGTGGGTGATCCGATTTTCCTCTCCTAGGGATCTCTCCAAACTTCTATCCAAGAATTCTTAAACGCTCTTAAAACACAAGTGTAGGAAAATTTCATAATAATCATTCATTCTCCTGAAAAATAAAACATGAGGCTAAAAATAGCCAAGTACATGGGACCTCTGTTTAAAATTGCGCAACAACCTCTACGCAATTCTTCCCAAAGACGCCTCGAGATGCACGCAATTTGGATCCTGGAAGAGGCGTACGCCTCACCTTGTGTGAGGCGCGCCTCAATTGCGCAATTATGGGTGAAGCGTACGCCTCATCCAAATGGCTCCACCTACTTAAAATGAGCCTTTTTTCCCTACACCCGTTCAGCTCCAGGCATTTCCCGAAAGCTCCCCTCACACAAGCTCCAGTTCGCGAAACAGAGGATTTTTATTTAGATTTTGGTTAGTTTTTCCAAGTTAAAGGAAATATAGGGTTTTTGATTTTTTGAATTATTTTGTTTGATTTTGGATTTTTGCATTAGGGAACATGGTTAGAGGCAAGGAGAAGGGGAATACGTCATTGCGGAGGGACCCTTCTTGAAAATATAGTGTACAAGTTGACATAGGCGGTGGAGAGAAGAGTTATGTTTATTTGAAATGCAATTTTTGCGAAAAAGTGGTGAAAGGAGGAGTTACCTGCATGAAGGAGCACTTATCATGCTCTCATAAAAAACGTAGCACCGTGTGCAAATGTGCCGGAGAAGGTGAATGATGAAATTATTGCTTATATGAAGAAAAGTACGATGGCAAAACACTTACAACAGGAGCAATTTGATGATAAGGTCGAACATGGTGCTTACTTCGGGAGCGAGAGTGGAAAGGGCTCTTCCTCTACTATACATAACAGAGGTGCATGGGGTCCTATGGATCAGTATAGGACTAATCCAGAAGGGGATAGATGACAAGCACAAATGATGCCTGCGGCTGGTACTAGAGAGGGTCGACGCCAGATTTGCATGGATATTGACAGTTTTTTTTTTTTTTTTTGAAAATGCCATGCCATTTAATGTTGCTACATTGCCTGCCTACTTCAATATGCTGCGGTCTGTAGGGTTTTATGGGAGAGGGTTGAAGGCACCTTCCATGTATGAGTTGCGAACATGAATTTTAAAGGAGGAGCTGCAGAACACAGAGTGGAGCATTGATGAGATTAAAAGGACATGGATTGAGACTAGTGTTACCATTATGTCAGATGGATGGTCTGACATGAAGTGCAGGAGCTTGATTAACATCCTTGTCAACAATCCCTTCGGCACGGTATTTTTACGATCAGTTGAAGCTTCAGATGAGATGAAAAATGCTACATTCATTTTCAATTTACTTGTTGGGGTTATTGAGGAGATTGGGGAGCAATTGGTTGTCCATGTAGTGATTGATAATGCCAGTGTATACAAAGCAGCTGGTCAGATGTTGATGGAGAAGAGTACACACCTATATTGGACCCCCTGCGCAGTACATTGCATCGATCTCATTTTGGAGGATCTTGGTGACTTACCTCAGCACAAGAGTGCTCTTTCTAGGGCGAAGAAGATTACAAAGTTCATCTACAATCACTCATGGGTCTTAAGCTTAATGAGAAAGTTTTCAAAGAAGGAAATCATTCACCCTGCAACCATTAGGTATGTTCTTAAATTTGTGCATTGCAAATCATTATTGCAATTCCTACTGTATGTTCTTACATTTATGCACTGTAAATCTATAGGTTTGCCACATCCTATTTGGCACTGCAGAGCCTGATGGAAGTGAGGCAACCTTTAGAAGCAATGTTTACATCAACTGAATGACTTAACTCTGCTTGGGGGAAGAAAAGTGAGGGGAAGGAAATAAGAAAGATTATTCTGAATGATAAATTTTGGGCTACTGTGACCTATGCCAGATTGAGCACGAGACCCTTAGTGCAAGTACTACGCTTAGTGGATGCAGAGAAGAAACCAGTTATGGGTTTTATTTATAATGCCATGGATGAGGCCAAGGAGATGATTGCATACAACTTGGGAGGAGAGGAGGCAAGTTATAGAGAGATTTGGGATATCATTGATGCTTGGTGGGAGGTGCAGTTACACCGTCATCTACATGCAGCGGCATATTATTTAAATCCTCAATTTCAAAATTCAAAGAAGAAATCTTCAAACCCGGAGGTGAAGCTTGGTCTGTATCATTGTATGGAAAGACTAATACCGGAGTAGGCAAATAGGGAGCTTGCAAATTTACAACTTGTTCTATTCCAGAATAAAGATGGTTTTTTTGGGTCTGAATGCAGCAAAATCAACAATTGCCAAACGGTCTCCAGGTATAGTTATTTTGGTAAATGCAAAATACTTTATTCAGTTATGAATTCTGATTATCTTTTTTCTTCTTGAAAATAGTTGAATGGTGGATCCAATTTGGTGATTCCACTCTTGAGTTACAGAGTTTTGCTGTAAGAGTGTTGGGCCTCACTTGTTCTTCTTCTGGGTGTGAGCGAAACTGGAGTACATATAGTCAAGTTCAAACAAAGAGAAGAAATCGGCTATCAACACTCAGAATGAACTCCCTCGTATATATTATGCACAACAAGAGGTTAAGAGATAGGAGGTTGAGGAATAATGGGTTAAAGGATGATGAGGACCCGTTGGTGTGTGATGATGTGTCATCTGATATTGAGTGGTTCATAGATGATGAGACAGATTTGCCATTATTAGACTTACAGCTAGAAGATCTAAGTGTGGATGTCTTGAGGGGCGAAGCAGATCAAGTGGGCACATCCACTAGTACCACACCACACACATCCACTAGCTCTGCAGCACAACAATCAAGTAAAGGTATTCCACAACTTCTTATATGCTATCACATTATATTTATATCAAGTGAGCAATTAACATGATAATGATCTTTTCTCTTATTGAACAGGGAAGAGAAAAGTGAGTCATATTGAATGTGATGATGATATGACATTCATAGATATAATTGGAGAAGAAGATTCCCTTGAAGACCCATTTAGTGATGGGATATGATTGCATTTTATATGTTCTTTGTACTTTGGGAGTTTTGTTGAACTAATATTTTGTGATTTTGTACTTTGGGACATGATTTTATTGCATCTATTTTGTTACTTTTCACTATTTTCATATATCATTTAGATGTTTTTATTGTAAGATAGAATATTGCTATTATTATCCTGCTAAAACCCTTAATTTCTCATTTACCCAATTCTGTGTCCGTGAGGCTTATGCCTCAGACCGCCTCGAGGCTTACGCCTCGCCTCACGGACGAAAACTGCCTCGAGGCTTAATTACACAATTTAAACCTTGATGGGACTCAAGAAAATAAAAGAAAAAATTGCCCTCCGGGCTTACATACGATATCTCCCACTAAAAGGATACAACTGGAAATCTAATAAAACAAATACACGACACTGAAAATAGAAAAATACATAAATAAGAAAATAACATAAATAACTAAAAAATACAAAGACTCGATCGTGACCGTAGGTCGGCTGCGATGCCTTTGATAAACCTTCCACGAACTATTGTCCCCATCAGTATGACACATTGGCTTTTCTTTACTGCGGATACATTTGTTTTTTGTCAGAAATTTGGATAAGGTTGATCACTGTGATGTGGAGGAGGTGCTGATTAATAATTCATACTTTATAGTGGTGCTGAAGTGGTACATTCTACTTGATTCTGTCATCACCATTTCAAAATCAATTGATAAAGCTACTAAATCTATTCGCTATTTTTAAATGGCATAACTTTTTTTATCTGTTTATTAAAATTGACTTATTTATATTATTTTTTAGTGTGATGCTTTACAATGGAAGGTTTTTCTTTTTCCTCAAGTTAGGACTCTTTGCTGCCCTATTTATTCATTGTTAATTTAAGTGTTATTGCTGTGCTTATGTAGGTAGAGGAGATTGGCGAGATTGACTTTGATACAAGAGATCCATTTTATTCTGATGCAATTGCAAATGAAAAGGAAATTGATCTTACTGAAGAGCAGAAGAAAAACTTCAGGAAGGTTGCGCTCTTGTTTTTTATTATATATTTTTAAAATCTAGCAAAAATGCACATGTCCTAAGCGTAAGTGGACTTTTTTTTCTATAATTTATTTTTTAAGTTTATAATTATGTATAATTTGATTACTTAAAATAATTTATCTTTAGAGTACTTTGCCAATGACTCGTTGAAATCATCTCTAAGAAATATCTTCTGTTATGAAGGAGAGTAAATTATTAAGGAAGATATAAATACCTTTCACTAGATGCTCCACATCGGTCATACACAAATTCTCTTATCTAACTCATTTAATTATTGGTATATTTTACTGTAAATATTTATTAAATAACAATTGTGGGTTATAAACACAACTCAGTGGATAAATTATAATTTTATATTACATAAATCAAAGAAATTTGGAAACAATATGTATGTTAGTTCTCATAAATGGATCAATATAAAATCAAATAATTTTTTGTTGTACTCAAAGATGAAAATATAAAAGAATTTGAAATATTCTCTTGTATAATAATAGCATAAATGGAAAGAATCATCTCATATCTTACTTATTTTATAATATAATCATCATAAGAGTACCATCTAGATTGTACCATTTAAGATACATCAATATCAACATCATTTTCCAAATCTATGAGCAGCTAATCATTTTACGCATGAGTATAGGCGCCCCCGGCCAATACCATAAAAGGATGAATTCCATCTTTCAAAATATAAATTTAATCATTCTCATATGTCATATTGTTTACATTCTTTTCATCGTTCATTTACTTTTAACAATACTTTTATATAATATTTCTTGAGATCATTATTGGAGGTTGAAATATGATGAATACCACATAACATTCATAACAATATGAAGATTATGTGCATGGGAATGATAAAATCTTTTAAAAAAATTTTCAGTAGTGGTCTAACACTGTTTACAAGCGGCCATAACAGTAATACATTAAACTTTTAGGAGAACATAATTCATTACTATAAACTAGAAATAATAATTTTCCGCCTCAACCTTGATTTACTTTTTCTCTTAATCCTTTAACTCCACCTTCTTTAAAATATATAATTTTATATAAAACATCCCCATTAACTGGTTTCTAAAATTCATCTTTTAATTTTATGTATCTCTTTTTATTATCTTCATTTAACTCTATATCATTCTTTTTTATAATTTATTATTCTATAATAATTTATTTTTCCTTCAAGGCTTCAACTAGATAAATCATGATTATTAAATTTATCTTTTAATTTTTTAGAAATATAAATTATAGCAAGTCTGTGAAAGTTCTAACTTTATATTTTATGTTTAACATATCACTATCATTTGGCATTAAACATTTCAGTTTGATTTAAATCATATCGTTATAATGAAAAAAGATTCATGTAGCCGACCCCACATAGTGGGATAAAGGCTTGTTGTTGTTGTTGTATAATTTGATATCATTATTTAATAATGTTGAACTATATAAATTATTCTTATTTTTTTTTTCAATAGGATTTTATAGTACATTACTTGCTTTCTTATGTTTGATTCATGTGAAAAAAAAAAAAAAGTTTGATTCATGTGAACAAGTAGATATGACTTATTTGAGTGTAATCTACACAGCGGTTTATTGGTGTAGCTGACATCATTTGACTTATGATGATGGAATGAAGTATTTATATCTTCATAATAATATTTGAGAGTCCTGTAGCCATAGACAACATTTGTCAATCTATATAACTTTTTTGTTTTTTTGGTGTGGATTTTTTTCTCAAAAGGATAAATTAATCAATATATGCCTTGATAAGATTCAGCTATACTTAGGTGAGGTTGTCTTTTCTCTGCATCCTTTCCTCCTCGCCTCTTGTAGGAAGATGTTAGTAGTATTCATATAGTTTGTCTGATTTCTGTGCTAATCAATTCTGTTGTGTAGATGCTGCAAGCTGCATCTTATTGTTATATGGGTTCACCTTTTCTCTACATGACTAAATTGTACATACTTAAGGTTTTTGCATATCAACCAATTCTAATTATGGTTTTTCCATCTTTGCATTTTTTTATCTCGAATTTATTTTCTCCACACAGCTTCAATAATGTGTCTCAATTCTATACACTTTCTAATATGCCAATTTAAAAGGTATTTTGAAATTACAAATGTTTTTAATTTTCTTACTTTATCAATAGGATGAAGTTTTATCAGTTATTCTAAAATTAATTAAAGAAGCAGCAGCATATTTGCCTATTATCATAATTCTAATATTCAATTTGCTGTAACTGACACAATTATAGGGATAAGGCATGACCATTTTTTTAGGAGTTTCTTTAATAATATCAAGTTTCATTTCTTGTAATTGATTTTTGAGGGAAGATCTAAAGTAGTGTGTTGCAGCCATTATGACTTGGAGGTTATGGGTTAAAGTCACAAAGATGAACTCTTTGCATTGCCAGGGTTAGGTTTGCTTACTTTAATTCCTCTGCATACATTGCATTAAGGTTTAAAATTACGAAATTGGGTATTGATGCGTTTTTAGTTTGTGAGGCGATGCGTAAGCCTCAAGCTGTTTTTAGGCATAAGTCTCAAAATTAAAAAATTACAAAGTGAAAATAAAGGTCAAAAACGACTTTTTATATAATACCCAAATAATATGTTACAGGATGACATATTAAATTTCTATTGAAGTATGAATTAACAAATAAATATATATATATATATATATATATATATATTCAAAAATTACACAAAATCTAAAATGACAAGTGATAAATTGCCTGAAATATAATTAAAATCTAAGTATAATAAGAGCAAAATAATATTAAATATATGAATTGCATAAAAGTATCATATAACATTAAGCTTTTTCAGTTCCCTACTCATCCACATTTAATTCCTAAAGAAAGCTGAAATAGTTGACAACAAAACAGAAATCATATGCACGGTCATAAATCAGATGCATTGTCATTATAGAGGGGGTCTTTATTTGAGTCATCATTATAACAAATTAGTCTCTCCCCTGTCTCATCTTGTGGAGTCCAATGCCTCCTAATATGCTTATTCGTCATTTAATTTAGTCTTCCTTTTTCATTAATATAAAGATGTGATTAATACTTCAAAATTTTTAAAGAAGGAGGTGGTGGTGTGCGGCTTTCAAGAGATCCCAGCGGTGGCTAAATGGTGGTGGCTGAGGAGAAGGCAACGTGCTGGAGGTCAACGCAGTTGAGAGAAAGTTGTTGCGACTCGGGGATGCATGAAGACATGATTGTTCGTGGCTTTAGTTTAGGATTTAGGTAAGTTTTAATAAGAAATATATAAATAGGGTGAGGCGTAAGCCTCACGCCAATGAGGTGAGACATGTCTCAAGGCAAACCTCAATGAAGCTAAGGCGTAAGCCTCATGAAAAAATCTTGAGGCGTAAACTTCGAGGCATTTTTCATTGGAATTGTATTGAGGCGGGCTCAAGGCTTGCCTCATATTGCTCAATTTTAAACAATGCATTGCATTGATCGTAGCTTTATGCACTCGGTTATGCCCTTTCTATTTCCAAGAAATGTGATAGTACATTCTTTAGATTTTTCATTTCCATTAATTGTGACTTTTTACCAATTTTGATTTTTACAACATTACTACATGTAGGTCATTTGCTTCTAGATTTTGATCAATAGGTTTCATGTCTGTTTGTCCCACCCATATTTGACCAAGATTTGTTGTGTGTGGGCTGAAGTTTTAATATAGTAGTCCTGCAGAGGGAAAAGTTTATGCCAGGCCCAAAAAACTTGCGATGGCCTCACCAGCTTGCCGTTTTTAAGTTGAAACTTTTATTTTTAACTCTGACTATTGAAACAACTGCATTTCTGTCATATTTATTTGTTTGTAGTTCTATGGGCTTTTCCGCTTTTTTTTTTTTTAATTCTAATTCTAAGTAATATTATTTTGACTAGGTAATGGAGCAGGATGATGCCAATTTCACACATAAATTGCAACAGCGCTTAAAGCGGAAGCGACAGAAAAGCAAAAGATACAGGGTAAATGAGCTATATCAAAAATTTACATGTTAAACGCTGTAGAAGTAGAAAAAAATCCTTCTCTGTTCGCTGTTGTTCGCTGTTGTGCTAATTGTTCGCTATCTTTCATGAGGTTTTCAGATCTATTTTGCTAAAACTATTGAACTCTTCTGTACAAATCTTTTTTATCTTCTATATGTTACGAATAATGAAATAAAGTAATATTCTATAACAGGTTCCAGTTGTCAAAGATCCCCTCACTTATTTTTCTTCATATGAATGTTTTCAGGTAGACTCCTTGTTGGAAAACCATTCTGAAAATGGTTTTGTGGATGCTAACGATGGTAATATATCTGCAAAAGATATTGGGAACAATTTGGATATTACAAATATAACTAAAAATGCTAGCCAAAATTTTAATGGTGACTGGAATCTTTCAGCTGATACTGAGGAATTTGAAACAAAGAATAAGAGGTGCAAAACTGTTTCAATAGACAGTGATGATGAAGTCCTGGAGAATAGAGCCGCTTCTAGTGTTCACGGTGCAGCCAACACTGAACAGCACTCACCAAAACAAGTTAAAACCATTGATGTTATTGATGTTGATGAGGTGTCATCACCAGATCCAGGAAAATGTAAAACCTTTGAAAAGGAGATTCTGTGTACATCTTGTTGTGATACCTTAAAGCCTCCTCTAGTGAACAGGCATCCACTTTTGGGAGTTGCTGTTTGTGGATGTTGCAAATCTGTTATCGAAAGAAAGATGCAAGCCAAGGTAGGCATGATCTCAAAATTTATTATGTTCTTCTAGACAAGTATTATCTTAACCTAAACCTCATGTTTATGTATTTCCATTGAGTATAGACACCATTACTTAACTATTATGGTTGCAAGAAAAAAAAAGAGCATGGACGCATCCTCAATCATTTCAAACTTTAGGAATGCTATTCATACATTTTGGGACAATCATTCCTTTGGGTTTCCTATTAGTTTGTCTCATAAGGTATGATAGAGATAGAAAACCTTTATTATTCTTTAGTCTAAATTATTTTGTCCGATTTTGATGTATAATCCTGATAGGAGCATGCATTTTGCTGAGTTAGTTGGGGAAAGTAAATCCATTGCAGTCCATGAAAATATTCACTGGTTATGTATGAACATCAGAGGGTGAGGGTGGTAGGGAATAATATTGCCTGCTTGCATACCTATGTTTGACCTTTTGTTACTCTATGATCAAAACTGGTCGAGGGTGTTTCAATAATAATAAAAAAGCATATAGAGCAAGTGGTTGCATAGACGCTCCAGTGGTATGAATTTTGTTAGAGATGGCGTTTGATTCATAACACACTTTAATAGGTCAATTATTACTCATTTTGAACTGTTTTTAATGCACTTCATTGCTGCAGGGTACTTTCTCTGGTGAATTTTGTGCATGGTGTGGAAAGTGTGATGGTTTGGTGAACTGTAACACTTGTAAGATGCTATTCTGTGAAGCATGCATATCAAGGAATTTCGGCAAAGAAGATTTATCAGAAGCTAAGAACATTGATTGGCGTTGTTACTGCTGTTTGCCTATTTTATTGCATCGGCTTATAATTGAATGTGATAAGGCCCTTGGAGTTTTGCCTGCAACCAGTTCTGACAGTGATTCAGCATTTTCGGATGCTGAAATCAATGTATCGATAAGGTAATGGATACTTCTGCATTACTGTAACATTCCGTGCTTCTGGTGGGTTCCCAAACTATTAATTCTGATATTACAATGAGAATATGTCCACTCTCTTAAGAATTTTTGTTTTGCTTATGATTTTGTAAACATTCCATGCATGTCTTAGTTATTTTTTTCAAGTAAACGCTCATTCCATTAGTTGCATTATTCTGCTTTACATAAATATTTTTCCGTTCAATTATATGCATCATTTACAACTTCCCTGTTATGACCGTCTATGCTAAGGACTAGTTCTTGCTTTGGGCATATGAAGTGTGGAACTTAGCTTTACAGCTTTTCAATTATGCCTTGATGCATGAAATTCACTTTCTTTTATATAAAGTATGGCTTGAAAAATGATGCAAGAATTTTCCTTCTACCTTTGGGAACCTTCTTCTAGAAGTTACAGTTGTCCTAAATTCTGCCATACACTTGTATGCAAAAAGCTCATAGGTCTAATAAGTGTTTTTTGTTCATTCTTCTTTGTTATTTTAGTACCAGCAAGAGACGGAAGAAAAAGATCAGGAGAATCCTGGATGACACTGAGCTTGGGGAAGAAACAAAGGAAAAAATAGCAATAGAGAAGGTTTTTATCAGTTTATTCCATTTGACATTATTATTTCCTCTGTTTCGCTTACTTGTTTTAACTTCTGTTGTAGGCCCGGCAAGAATATCTAAGATCTATGCAAGCACAGTCGGCTAAGAAATCCTATGGTAAAACTCTAGCAGAAATTAACAGGAGCACTTCAGCAATCGAAACTCTCAGAATGCTTGATGATCCAGGAGAAGGCTATGTTGTTAATGTTGCTAGGGAGGATGATGAGGAGCCAGTTAGAATTGCTCCTAGTCTGTCTATGAAATTAAAGCCACATCAGGTGGTTTGCCAATCCGGTGTCCTGTTTTATGTTTTGCTTTGCTGAAGTCAATGTTATAATTTTAATCATATTATTTTCTTATATCTTTGTTGACTATATTGTGAATTCCACCACCTATGTCATTTTCCGCATCTGTCCACTTCAAAACCACTTAAAGCTTCTCCAATCTCATATATTCTTGAATTTCTGGTTGACCATGCAGTTTTTCTTGATTAAATATTACTGTTTTCCAGGTTGAAGGAATACGATTTATGTGGGAGAACATTATACAGTCTGTAAGAAAGGTTAAATCAGGGGATAAGGGCCTTGGATGCATTTTAGCCCATACCATGGGCCTTGGGAAAACTTTTCAGGTTTGCCATCACAAACTAACGCTCACATGCCAAACATGTTATCCTTTTTTCTTGTTCAGATTGTAATCTGAATGAACCAATTTCTTTTGTTGTTGGTATTGGGTACACAGTGCCTTTTTGATGTTAATTGTCCTGCCTAGTTGTAGTTTTCTACTTTGAAGGAATAGGTTTAATTTTAGAGTTCATTGGCAACCTTGTGTTGTAAGCTGTTATCTATGAAACAATGTTGTATTTGCTTGTATAACTACGGATAAGTTGCGCTGCAAGCACATTCTCCATGATCTGGTATCAATAGTGATGTAAATTTAAATTTCTATGTTCATTAGGAATGCAATTTATGTGAATTGGTTCTTAAGGATTGTTTCAGATCACAGTGAAATAATGTCATATCTGTTGGTACATGTGTTAGCATGCATCGTTTTATGGTTCTTAGGGTTAGTTAGATCGGAAAAGAACTCATTAAAGGTGTTAAAATGCGTCGTTTTATTAAGAAAAACAACCATGGTTGTGTCCACAAACAACGTAGTGTTTCTATCTATAAGTTTCCTAGACTTTTCTGGACAAACATCCACCCACCATAGCCTTGCAGATGACATGTAATGGAGTTGCGATGATGGCAAGAATGGATGTACCGGACAAAGGAGAAAGGTGCTGGCAAAACTTTCGACGAAGACTAGCATAATTGGATCCAATGAAGGACCTATTCAAGGCCCCATTGTGCAATCCAACATTATCATTTGCATTGTTTCCCTTGTGCGAGAAGAATTTCCTCACAATCTGTGTGGTTGATTGGAATTTAGTTGAGTATGATGTGCGCTATATTTTTATTTTTACATGTGAACTTGATTGTTGCTGAAATTTAATATTGGGTCACTATTTTCTTGTTGAATTTTTGAATTTTAATGACTATATTAAGTTATCTCTTGGGATGAAAGATGTTTTTTTTTGCTATCTTTACATTTAAAGTGATATATGTTGCTAAGTTAAGAGCTGGTGTTATTAACTTGCAGATTGTGAATTTGTTTTTGCGTATCATCCTAGTTTGCATTTTAACCATAGGATAATAACCATTTTACATTAAATTGGTATTAAGGCCTGATTTGTCATCGTGTCAAATATATATATTTGATTGATAATTTGGAATACTTATTTTAAAAGTGCTATTTATTTGATTCTAAAAAGCAAAAATTTATTGAAACAAAACTAGTTGGTTTTTCTAAAAATTATTGCTGTAGGTTCGCAAGCAGAACAAAGCCAACATGGGTTGATATGAGACAGACTCGAAGAGCAATTTATGTCATACGTAGAATATCGAGATCAATTGCTTAGTCACATTGATGGTTGTTGACAATAATTATAGTGTCTGCATACCATGATAACTTTAAAGTTAAAAATGGTTTCACTTGTTATCACTTGCTTTGTTAATAGTGTTAAGCAAGAGATTAGGATTGTTTTAAGCTATAATTTACCAAGAACTCTAATTGAAATTTTAACTAGATCTTTGAATATTAATGCATGCTATGAACGATTTATATGTCCACAAACATAATTAAAATTTGTTAAGAGACATCTTTAGTCATAACTGGACATCATGTTGGTGTTCAGAAATTAAAATTTTAGAAGCTTGAGCGCATAGTTCTTTCTAAATATGGTAAGTTATCTGTCCAAGTTCTTGGGGAGTGGCATCTTGATACAATCTGGAAAATATACTGGAGGTCTTCATCATGCTCCTTTTGATGGGTCCAATTTTCTTCTTATTTGTGATTGGCCTAGTAGCTTCCTATGCTTCATAATTCACCTCGCCCTTAAAGAACTCTTCATTGAAGAGTTGAAGTTCAATAGCCCTCCATATGATTAGGTGTCATCTTCTCCAAATTAGTCCTTGTAAGCCATATATGATCACTAGATGGTTTGTCATTCGACCTCAAGTATAACCTATGCTCTTTATTATCACCAGTTGGTGCTTCACTTGTCATTGCACTTCTAGGAAGTTGGGCTGAATGTTCACTTGCATTTGGTTGTTTGCTCCATCTATAAAAGAGCCAGTCTCAAAATTCTCATGTAATATTTTTCCCAAAAATGTTAGTATATATTTAATATTTAGGGAAAATGTGGATATGTTCTATTGCTTTCATTTTCTGTAGATTCTTAGGCTGTTCAATAACTTGTTTTTCTTTTGTTTAATTTTTTGTAGGTGATAGCATTTTTATACACGGCCATGAGAAGTGTTGATTTAGGATTGAGAACTGCACTTATAGTTACCCCCGTAAATGTTCTTCACAACTGGAGACAAGAATTTTTGAAGTGGAAGCCTACTGATTTGAAGCCTCTTCGTGTTTGGATGCTGGAAGATGTTGTTAGGTAATGACCGTTATGTAATCCTTTTATGTATAGCTGCTCTTCCTTAGCACCACCTCATCCAGATGCATGCAGATCAACCGAGGAGAGAACAGATAAAGGATTGCATATGATGACTTTCCAATCAATATGATGCTGATGTATTTTTCTGTTTTTCTCAGAGAGAGAAGATCACATCTACTTGCAAAGTGGAGAGCTAAGGGTGGCATATTTCTGATAGGATACGCCGCTTTTAGAAACTTATCTCTTGGAAGGCACCTAAAAGATAGGAATATTGCTATTGAAATTTGCCATGCTTTACGGGTCAGTTTGCCGAATTTAGATCCATTATTTATCTTCATTAAATTTTTCTACTTCGGTATTTGTTCTACTAACAGCTGAAAATGATCAATTTAATATGTTTCTTTTCTGAGGCTTGGAACTTTAAAAGCAAAAATTATTTCAAAATGATATAATTATTGCTTGTTACTAACCACAACAGCTTGAGAGCTGTTTTAAGTTCTTATTTGTGATTGTGAAATGAATTTTGAATGCCTAATTACTCACCATGGTTGCATTTGACATAGTGCTTATAGATCGAATAAAGATGGTTGAATACCATAGAACACATATGTGAACATAGAACCACCTTCATCATGCAGTACTGGTACAAAACTATTGTAAAAGCTCGAAACATTCATAGGGCATAGGTATTTCTTTTTTGAAATAATGTAATTTCAAAAAGAATAGGGCAAAGGATTACCTGTTGATCAAGATCATCATCATTAGCTTTATCCCCACTATTTTTGTTCATTTCATGGATCCTTCTCCATTCATTTCAGTTGAAAGCGATGTGAGGGGTTAACTCTATTTTACACAAATATGCATGTGTTCTTTCCTAATATTTTCAAATGCTTTATTAGAGTGTTCAGTTTAATGAATGCATGGCAACTACTATGAAGCTTTATAGTTTCATAAGCGTTCTACTATTCATAAAGGATGTATTATAAACGGGGGATATATTTTATGGTTTACAGAGGTCATATGAAAATTCAGTGCAACTCAAGCCATCTAACGTGCTTGAAATATCCTAAGCAACAACTGCCTAAAGTTTTAAGTTATTTTAATAACTTTACAAGATTAAAATCATAAATTACGTCTCATGCAATTCAACTCAACCATTTTGAAGACTTGATGCATTCAAATGATCATGATTTTTATTTTTTATGTTATTGCAATTTTTGAATTTTATTTTTTTTGTTTACCCAATGATGGAGGGAAACCGATGATCATGTGTGGTTTAGATGTTCTTTGAACATGTTTTCCTTTGGTGTGCTAGCTTCTTTGGGTGCTTGTGTTTGGGTTGACTTGGGTTTGTTGGGGGTGGCTGAGCTGGTGCTTGGCCTTTTGGATGTTCAGTTCCTGCTCCCTAGCTTTCCATGTTCTGATCGGTTCTTGTTCCCTGGTTTTCCCGGTTCCCCTTGTTGTGGCTGTTCGGGTAGGGGTTCAGACGTGCCTTATTGCTGCCTTTTTATTTCCTTTTTTATTGGCTGTAGGGGGCTGCTGTTGATGGCTGTTGGCCTCCTTTTCTTTCTTATTTATAGGGGAGTTTTGGGCTGTTGTAGGAAGTTTTTGGCAAGTGAAAACAAAGTAAAAACCTTAGGATTTCTTCTCTAGCTCGAGAGCTACTTCTTCTCTTCTTGTTTCTTCTTCCAAGTCTTCTAACCCTTTCTTCTCTCCATAAGTTTCCACCCCATTGTATCTATCTTCTAAAATTGAGAGTGCTATTGGTTGGTAAGTTTTGTTGGGATTTGCTGGAGGAGTTGTGGCAGACGTTGGATTGGATCAAAGTAGCTGTGGTGGACCACTGGTTTACATGTCCTTGAGCATTCTATTTACCTAATTTATCGTTTCTTGTGAGGTGACCACTAGCTGATTGTTCTGAGGGTAGTTTCTTTTAGTTTTCTATCTTCTTATAAAATAATTTCAGTTTGTTTAATGTTATTTGGTGCTTTGTTTACTAAGATTTTGGATCGATTTGTGTTCTACTTTCTTTTGTGTTCTCCATTGGTCTTTTAAACTTGCTAGGTCCCATCAAGACTCCTGATGTTGCTACCGATGGTCAAATTATCTTTACAAGGCATAAAATCATCTTTGTCACCTGTTACTAAGGTTGACAAGTATGGATAGGCTTGATCTGACTTTTGAGACCACTTGTGTATGAATTTGAAGTATATTGACAATTATCTTGAAGTAGTGATAAATACTTTGAGATGTACATACGTAGAAATATATTTTATATTAAAAGTTTTCTGCCCTTTTATATGGAAAAAGATCTAAGATCAATATGATTGATTTTTTGACTACAACGTGTGAAATCCATTATGTCATATTGTGGGCTTTGAAATTTGGCATCTAGGATCTAATGAGAGTTAAAATTTTTCAGTTGAATTTTTTCAAAAGTTAGATTATATCGAAGATACGACACTGCTCAAAGATTTCATCTTCATTTTGTGAGGACTTTATGATGTGATTGTATGTTTCTTGTAGGTACAAGCTCTTGTTAATTATCCCTTTTTAGTGATGAGAGAAATTTTTTGTTTAAGGCCAGTCATTAGAAACTAAATGATTAGCCTATAGTAGTGGCAAATTTGATTTAGGATTGAAAATTTTTCACCGTAAACTAAGCAGATTGTGTGGGAAATGATGAAGAATTTGATCAAGCTACTATGGTTATGTGGTTTCAAATTGTTATGGATTATAGTCTAATTAGTTAGTAGAGGTAGTCAATTCAGCATGACCAAAGGATCTATGTCCATAGTCATAGCTTGCATCATCCAAGGAAATCTGATAGACCCAAAGTGGATGTTTATTAAAGGGGATGAATTTAAGTAAACTTCGACTAATAAAGTGCTTTATGCCCTGTCAAGTGTACCATATCATTTACTAAAAATTTTGTTTAAGTCATTGGGGAACTTATGGTCTCAGGTCATGCAGTTATTTAATGATATCATTTTTTTCTTGTAAAAACCCTTGATCAAATGGCTCGATCATAACCATTTACACATGGTGCTATTTGGCGGTAAAATCATCGGTTAGAAGACACATGACAAGCCTTTACTCACGAGAGATTGTTTAAGAATGAATATGATAATAGCCTTGCCAAGACATGAGCTCTTTGTGAGCTGAGGTCATTCTTAATTTTATCACCTTTGACAAATGATTGTGGTGGGTGTATAATTATCATTTTTAAGTTTGAGGCGATTAATTTTACTTGTCATTTTTCACATTTTTATTTTTTTTATATTTTTAATTTTTTCCCGACATGGCTCCTAAGTGATCTATATTAAAATTTGGGGGCATTTTGAAAATCATATTCCTCTATGGTTGAGAATTTCTAGTACTGTGACCATCATGGGGAGTCATGTGGATCTAGCATTTGGGACACGATAGATCATACTTGAAATATGAGATTACGATGTTGCCCTATTGACAAGGCAACTTGCTTGAAGATATCATGTATAATGATAGTTTAAATTTTCAGTTGAAAGAGTTTGTCAATTTAAAAAAAAATAGTTGCTCATGTTCTAGACATGATGTAAAATGAGCATATACGTGAAAAGGTTGGAGTAGCTCCAATGGAAGATAAGATTAGAGAGAGTGCCTTAGATGATTTTGCCACATAAAACGGAGGCCTTCCGATGACCCGGTTAGGAGAGTAGATGTATTATATTTAACCTATGTTAAAAAAGTTAGACCTAAAAAGACTTGGTTAGAAAATATTAGAAATGAAAATGAGAATTTGACTCTTAACCAGACACAATGGAGAAAAAAGATTCATGTAGCCGACCGCACATTGTGGGATAAAGACTTGATGTTGTTGTTGTAGTTGCTCATATTCTTAAAAAGTGTTGCACGAACCTCAGAGCTAGGTGAATTCAAATTTAATCTTAATTTTAGTTCACACAACATTCTTAGATTTTTTTTTTGTGCATTTATGACATGCGAGCTTTTAAATTTTAATAATTTGATTTTTTTTAGATGGCGTGCGTGCTTTTCAACCTATTGTATAGTGCATTTGCATAATTGTAATATACTTCCACATTGTTCAATGCATCTCATAGTGCACTTACAAGTTTTTTGATGTATTTGCTCAATCTACTTAGGTGTTCTTTGGCGTTTTAATGCATTTTGTGAGCTTATCAATGCATTTGCATAATATACTATCATGCTTTTCAATAAGTTTATATGGTGCTTTTGCATGATTTTTGATACATTTGCACAATGTATTTACATACATTTGCACAATGTATTTACATGTTTTTCAATATACTTGCATGTTATTTAGTGCACAAATATGTTGAACTTGGATGCTTTTTAATACATTTGCATAGTATACTTGCATGCTTTTTGATATACTTGCGTGCAATGGTAATGTTAGCATGTTTCTTAGAGTTGTTGCATGCTTTCGTAGATGTCTACACATTTCTTGAAGTAATTGCATGCTTCTCTAGGCAATTGCATACTTCTGGAGATGATTGCATGCTTCTTGAGGTTGTTCCATGCTTCTCAAAGTGACTCCATGCTTCTCGAGATAGCTGCATACTTCTCGAGGTACTCATTTGAATTTGATAATTGTGTCGTAACACATGCATGATGTAAAATATCTGAATTTTTATATTGCTTGTGAAAATGTTTGTCATTAAAATGCGTGTAAAGTTTAATTTTTAAAATGTTAAAAGGGCACATTCTTCCTTCAGTTTGCTTGCGTGCAAATTCAGTGGTGTTTATGATGAATACGAATTTATCACATGTTTTCACATTGTTAGATTATTTTGGTTTTCACATGGTTAGATTTTAGTGTGGTGTGACCTGCATTGCACATAATCAATTTTTTGCTATAGAAAAGGGGCACTTCCTAGTTCATTTGCACCATTCAAGTTCATTATGTTGGGTTCTTAAATGTTTTGAGTTGTTCAAGAGGGTGTTAGGAGTTTAGCAAGGGTTTTGTCTTCGTTGTAGGCATGTGTGGGGTGACGACAATGACTGAGGGATTAGGACTTATGAGATTGAATACACCAATAATCTCTTTCCACTTTTTGAATTTTCTGTCTTTTTTTCTTTTTTTACTTATATAAATGGAGATGAAATTATGAATGATATGTTAGGTTGATGATATAAGCATGAAATTAAATAGTAAGGCATCATGTATGTAAATGCCTCACACTAGGTTAGTACTCTTGTTCCACAAAATGCACCACTATGAGGGTTGAAATATTGCTAAAGGAAAAATATAATAGAGAAACTTCAATTTCAATTCAAATTCAAGCTAAGTTATTATTCCAATCGTGATACCAATATACACTCACACACAAATAATTGCTAGAAATTAAAAAAAACATTTAAATTAAAGGAGAAGGCATCACACATAGGAGGAAAAATCTGTCTATGAAAGGTGAAGATGTTATCCATATGCCTTGATTTGTGTATACGTTTTGAAACTTGCAATTGACCTTGGAGTGCTGAGGATGATCGATTAGATCTTAAGTTTGAAGGATGTCTAAATCTTAATTAAACGATTCTTAATCATCACACTCTTGAAAACTTGACTAATTAATATTTTGATTTGTTTTGATGTTCAAACCTTGATGAATGCTTTTGTTTTGTGATGAAAGCGGGCATACATTCAAATAAGTGAATTCCAAAATTTCATAATACCTAGGGATGTAAGGTATTAAGTGTTAGGACTGGCCAACCTAGGGACAGTTAATAAGTTTTAAGTTAGTATTAGATGAGGCTGGGCCTAGAGCTATGGGGTGAGGATCCTAGTCTATCAAGGGTGAGGTTGAACCTAATCCAAAATGGAGGAAAAAAATGACAAGTAAACCTTAATATTAACCTAGCCAATGAAATTATGATTGAGAACTAAGAGAAAGTACTCTATGCACTATCAAAATCTATATAATAGGCATGTGTGGACATTTCTATCATGCTCCACATTTCCTGATCAAACTATCCTGGACCTAGCCTTGATAATAGATTGGAAGGAATATGCTTTTTATGCCACTGAAACATTTGAGGGATATTGAGCAATTTTTCCGTTCATCAATACCTGGCAATATGGCTGTTGGTACATCTTTACTTTTACTAAAATTGAATCCCATCTTTTTTCCTCAGTATGGACCTGATGTGTTGGTTTGTGATGAGGCTCATATGATCAAGAACACAAGGGCGGATATAACCCTAGCTTTGAAACAAGTAAGGACACAAAGAAGAATTGCATTAACTGGATCTCCCTTGCAGAACAATCTGATGGAATATTACTGTGTAAGAAAATTTGCCATTTTTTTACTTGAGACCCGACTCTTTTTCATCATTGATAATATAAATTTTGGCTGGTTGGAGGAGCAGATGGTTGATTTTGTAAGAGAAGGATTTCTAGGGAGTAGTCATGAATTCCGAAACCGGTATGATACTTAGATTGTTATCTTCTTCATCATTTATTTGAATTGATATTATGTATAGTATTTGATTCTGTTCTTCAATTTCTGATTTAATGTTGCATGCAGGTTCCAGAATCCCATTGAGAATGGTCAACACACAAATTCTACTGCACATGATGTAAAAATTATGAACCAAAGATCACATATTTTGTATGAACAGCTTAAAGGATTTGTTCAACGAATGGACATGAGTGTAGTTAAAAAAGACTTACCTCCTAAGACTGTTTTTGTGATCGCCGTAAAGCTTTCTCCATTGCAGAGAAAGTTGTACAGAAGATTCTTAGATTTGCATGGATTTACCGTAGACAAAGTATCTTCTGACAAAGGGAGGAGGCGCAGTGGTTTCTTTGCAGGTTATCAGACTCTTGCCCAAGTATGAGACTAGCTTTAGTAGTAGATTTCCAGTCTGCTGTTTTGCAGTTATTAGTTTAGCTTACATTCAGTGGATTATGCTTTTTTATTAAGATATGGAATCATCCTGGACTATTGCAATTGGCCAAAGAACACAAAGACAGCTTAAAGCGAGAGGATGCTGTTGAGAACTTTATTGTGGATGATATGTCAAGTGATGAGAATGTGGAACATAGTGACATAAACAATGGAGGTGACAATTAACTGTCAATTATCCTTTTATTTCCTATGTTTCTTTTTTACACAGCATTGAACTAGAGCTCAGATCATCTGGAATTACTTCTGTCAGTTGATATATTATATTCAAATAATCTAATGCATGGAGGCATATGTCGAATGCAAAGAAGTTAGGTTGCACTTTGCAGTTGATACTTTTGGGTCTAAATTGATTCCATAATTTATATTTTTCAGAGCTAATCTACCTTCTGCAAAAAACTTCAATTATGGAGTGATTTCATTGTATTTTGGTGGTTTAGCCCTTGCTTTGCACATTGTTGAGCTTGATTACTTAATAGTTATAATACTTGTTCTTACTGAAGTGCAACATTTATGTTCTCATTTAAACGGAGGTCTCCTTCAATGTTATTATTTTCATCCCTTCTTCCATGGACATAAATAATCTTTGAATATCAAATCATCAATCTGTTGCTTCAGAACACGTCCTAAGAGTTTATTAGGAGTGAAAGATGTTATTTATTCTGTGGATGAACTGAAAACTGAAGGTGTAGTGATAAGTCAATTGGATTTTATGGACGATTGATCTACCAAATAAAGTTTTGAAGATAGACAAATAAATGATTAGAGAACTAAGTGGGGCTTGACACTAAATATATGAACCACACATCAGCTGCACAGGGAAAGTGTGAGAAAAAAGATATAGCTGATGGTGTACTTTGTTTCAAAAATCAATAGCATAAGCTGTTTTTGTCATCTTATTGTGGATGAACCTGGAACGGTGTTAGGGTCACAAGCTTTTCTTGATATAAATTTGAGTGCCGTTGACATTCTTGTGCTGGTTATCTGTTAACATTTTGTGTACCGAGCTGTGCCATTTGTGAGCTCAAAAGCTTTTGCTGGCACAATCATAAAATGAAATTTTTGTAAAACCATATAGATACACTGAAAAGATACCATTGCTGTGGGTGGTGAAATGAAAATGAAATAGAAGAATGAATATAGATTGATAGTGGAAACTGGGGGTGTTGAATGCTTGTAGGACCTATAAGTGAACTAAATTTAGTAGGGATCCTTGAGCACACGGATTAAGGCTACTAACCATTAGACTGATCATCTTATAGCCCTTAGATTGCATTGTCTCCTCTTCCTCTTCTAGCCATCGGCCTCACTTGGTTTTTTTTTTTAATAATCAGCTTTGATTTATTTTCATTGCTAGACTTTTGAAGAATTCTATATATACTTCTATATTTTGTATATAAACAATAAAATTCAAATTTGTTATTTATTTATTTTTCTACTTGTCCACACTTACCATAATTTGATTTTATTTTATGTTGCATACTTAAGATTTTCCCAAAAAACTGAACTTAGGACACTCATGAAAGTTGTTACTTATCTCTGAGTTTGATTATGCACTATTTAATTTTAATTCTATTATAAGCTAGTGATTGATTATCTTTTGTGATTCACAGAAAAACTGAGGGCCAGGAATGACTTCATGCCTAAATTGAATAATGAGGTAACAGGCTCATGCTATTTTACATTTTTCTTTGTGCCAGTTAATCTCAACCCCTCATCATTATTATTAGATCTACCCGAACAATTGGGATCAGCCTTTTTTAAGTCATTTGCCATTCATTCCTATTACACAGCCTTCTCTATTTTCCTGAAGAAACAAAAAATTTGAATTGGTTACTTTATAGATATAGAAGATCTCGGAAAGCTAGCTAATGTGCTTTTTTGCATGATTTACCGGTGGTGCTTATGGGCTTATGCGGTTTTGTTAAATATTTTTTTGCTGTGAACTACATATTTTATAATTCTGCATACAATCAATGTTATATTAACATCTGCTTCTACAGGAATGCGAGTGGTGGAAAGATCTTCTTGATGATCAGATGTACAAGAAAGTTGAATGTAGTGGTAAAATGGTTATACTTCTTGATATACTATCAATGAGTTCAGAGCTTGGTGATAAGGCTTTAGTTTTTAGCCAAAGCTTGGCAACACTTGATATGATAGAGCATTTCTTATCAAAATTTCCCCAGAAAGGTTCAGAAGGGAAGTATTGGAAACAAGGCAAGGATTGGTATAGGTATGTTGCAATGCTTACCTCTTCACTAGATTAAATTTTTGTTTGTGAACGTAGAACGTTGATTTTTTTGTAAATCCTCTCTGGGAGTGATTATTGTAACACGTTGAACAGGTTAGATGGAAGCACTGATGGTTCGGAGAGGCAAAAGATTGTTGAGAAGTTCAATGAACCGACAAACACAAGGGTAAAATGCACATTAATATCAACTCGAGCTGGATCACTTGGAATAAACCTCCATGCTGCAAATCGAGTTATTCTTGTTGATGGTTCATGGAATCCGACCTACGATCTTCAAGCCATATTTCGTGTTTGGAGGCATGTCCTGAACAATGATTTTATGTTTAAGGCTTCGATTGGAATAATTTTAAAATTTTTGTACTAGAAAACTGTTTTTTGAATCACTAAGGAAGCCGTCCCAAACGAAGCCTACATATTGACGTTATGCTTGCTCCACTATTGTTTGATCTCCATTTAAAATCTTTGTAGATACGGGCAAAAGAAACCTGTTTATGCTTACCGGTTATTGGCACATGGTGCTATGGAAGAAAAGATCTACAAGAGACAGGTACAATCTTATATTCATTCTGTATGACTGATAAAGAATTCCAATGTCTCGCTTCTTCATCCATTCTTTTCCCCCCTTTTTGGGATTAATTATTGTACGCAGATGTCGAATGTCATCCGAAGACAAACCATAATGCGCCACATCACCCCAGTGCTCGGTATCACTGACGTGGCGCATTCTGGTTAATCTATGGACGGCGTTCTTCGTCCGGTCTCTACACGGAATAATTTCTCCCTCTTTGGGGTCTAGAAAAACTTGCACTCGGCTGGAAGGAATGAAGAATGATGAATAAGATTAATAATGATGGGGATAACAATCTAGAGCAACTTGTGATAATTAGCCCTCATGATAGCCGAGTATATTTTATTGCTTTGAAACAGGTGACAAAGGAAGGAATTGCAGCTAGGGTTGTGGACCGGCAACAGATACACAGAACCATGTCCAAAGAGGAGATCCTTCATCTTTTTGAATTTGGTGATGAAGAAAATCTTGATATCCATGAAGATAGCCAAGGAAAATTGGTTTTGCTCAATCAAGCTAAACTTAAATTTTCTCAGCAGAACTCTCTTAGTGGTGCTTCTCACGCTTCTGACAAGATAATGGAAAGCTTACTCAGCAGACATCTTCCCCGGTAAATTAATATTTAATTAATGAATCACTTTGTTATCAACCTTGCTTCAGTTTCAGTTTCAGTTTCTTCCATCTATTCTACTCGTCCAAATTGTTATCAATAGGTTTATTCACATCATCTTAAAGTACACGCCAAAATTTTCATTCTTCCCTTATTTTTTTTTTTGCTTGGATTTCTTAAACCTTTATTTCAAAGGCCAAAAGCATTGCCACTCAAGTAAATGTTTGGTGGTTCAATCTAACCTTTTTAGGGGTGTAAACGAGTTTAATCAAGCTTGAGCCACCCTCCACTTGAGTTTAGTTTTATGAGTTTGTTTTAACTTAGATGAGCAAGTTTGTTTATCATGAAAGATAGAAGAATCTAATTTAAGCAATTGTTGAAATAAAATGATAAAATGAATAAATAATAAGAAAGAAAGAGAGATTTTAAATATTTTAAATAATGTTATACTTAAATCTTCAGATTTTAATATATATTTAAGTGTAATTTTTATAATTTTTTTAAATTTAACCTAGAGACTTGCAATGCTTTATGGTGTCAAATTTTGGCCATTAAAAAGAAGCATAATACTAAGTTATGTGTTGTAGAGATTAAAAAAAAAGTTAAAAGTGTTGTAGAGATGAGGATGCTCAGGTGGATGAGTGACTTTTACCCTTAGAGATAGGATACGAAATGAACATATACGTGAAAAGGTTTGAGTAGCTCCATTAGAAAATAAGATTAGAGAGAGTCGCCTTAGATGGTTTGGTCACATAAAACGGCAACCTTCCGATGTCACGGTTAGGAAAGTAGAGGCATTAGATTTGACTTATGTTGAAAGATTGAGGTAGACCTAAAAAGACCTAGTTAGAAAATATTAGAAATGATCTTTCTTTATTAAATTTAAACGAGAATTTGACTTTTAATATAACATAATGGAGAAAAAAGGATTCATGTAGTCGACCCCACGTACTGGGACAAAGGCTTGATATTGTTGTTGTATAAGCTAATAAGTTGAGATTGGGCAAGGGGGGCAAGCCCAAACTTGATTTACTACTCATCGAGTTTGATTCACAAGCAATTTATCATATGTCAAATCAGACCTCAGCTTGTCTCAATCTTATCATCATCATAATGTACTTGGTTAATGGCTCATTTATTTTTCTTAATTTTTATTCTTTTGAAAGTTCCCATTATATTCTATGATTGCATCCATTGATCCTTCTGCTACTAATCAAGCCTTGGATTCATCCATCTTGCCACACCTTTTACCAGCTGGATAGCCAACTACCATGAACACGAGACCCTTCTACAAGAAAATGAGGAAGAGAGACTATCCAAAGAGGAGCAGGAGATGGCCTGGGTAAGTTACCAAAGATCTCTCGAATGGGAAGAGGTTCATAAGATTACCTGTGATGATAATATAGAGAGAAAACCTTCCACTGCACAACTAGTAGAAGCTTCTCCTGCTCCTCCTGCTGCTGCTGCTGCTCCTCCTACCCAACAAAACAAGGGAAGTTCAAGAAGCCATCAACCTGCTCTTCAGAGAAAATGCAGCAATCTTGATCATTTATTAACTTTAAGAAGTAAGGGAATCAAATCTGGATCAACTACTGGATGTGAGAAATGCAATCAAGAGATAAGTTGGGAAAACCTCAATAGGGATGGAAAAACCAAATAAATATATATATTTATTTGGTCCAGCTTTTGTGCTGTTTAACCACAGGTATGTATGTATTCTGGCTTTTTTGATCTTGTAAAAGTCTGTGGGCAGCAGCTGAGTATAATCACTTTTGTATATCTGTATGTAGATGATTCTCTCATATGTCATTCTCTTTATTTTTTTTTATTTTTCTGTTTTTGTTTGAGTTTATAGTTTAGTTAATAAGGCTTTTTGTTTGGGTCAGCTTTTTATTATCTTTATAATCAAATTTTTTTTGTATTTTTTATTAGAAATTTTATTAGAAAATTACTTTAAAATAGTAATAATAAAGTTGTCCTAAGGAAGCCTGTTTTTTTCCATTAGGGATTGAGATAACTTTGTAGTTTGTAGTTTAAAAGTTCTCCCCATTAACCTCTCAGACCATCTCTAATGAATAATCTCATTTTTAGTAGATGATTCTCTCATATGTCATTCTCTTTATTTTTTTTTATTTTTCTGTTTTTGTTTGAGTTTATAGTTTAGTTAATAAGGCTTTTTGTTTGGGTCAGCATTTTTATTATCTTTAAAATCAAATTTTTAGTATTTTTTATTAGAAATTTTATTAGAAAATAACTTTTAAAAAGTAATAATAAAGTTGTCGCAAGGAAGCCAGTCTTTTTCCATTAGGGATTGAGATAACTTTGTAGTTAGTAGTTTAAAAGTTCTCCCCATTAACCTCGCTCAGACCATCTCTAACGAAAAATCTCATTTTTCACTCTAAAATGTTGTGAAATTAAAAAAAATGTTGTGATTCATCTCCAATTGAATTTTATTTTGTTCTCTTTTATGACGATAATGGTCTCTCTTCTCCCGCGTGTTTCTTCGGTAAGTTCCATAGAGATCGAAAAATAGCAAAGATAAATAGTGCAATGTCAATATTAGCATCCCACTGTTCATTTGCAATCAAATAGTGGAAGTTTTAATTCGGCTGTAACTTGCAAGCAACATCATTCAAACGTTTAGAGTTTGTTTGGAGATGATCTCACCCTATTCTTTCCATTTTGTAGTAAACTGGTATCTGCTGAAGATACTGTAGAGTATGATTGGTTTGATAAAATTTGTGAGGATTTTAATATATTTTATTATAAAATTTAAATTTAGAAATTTGGTTTGTAATGTAATTTATAGACAATTGAACTTATTTATATCTAGAAATTTTCCTTTTTTTGTAATTTATAGATAATTAAACTAGATCAATAGAGGTGAATAATTTTGTTTTTATAGACAATTGCCATTAAAAAAATTATCGAGGAATTTTATTTAATTATTATTGAGATTTGCATGCTAACTCCCCAAGAAAAAAAATAGAATTCAAATAAAAAATTAATGATAATAATAAAAAAAATAGAATTCAAATTTCAATTGGCCATATAAAATATATATATTTCTTAAATTTTTTCTGCGTCAATTAAAAAAAAGGTTATCTATGCTAAAGAGTATTATATGAGCATTGCTAAATATATACATATACCAAATGAAATTAAAAAAAAATCTCATAACACAATAGTTTCTAGAAAAAAATATAAATTTTTTATGAAGATATTAATTGTGAAAAATACAACAAAACAATAAAATATAAACAACAATAATAACATTATTCTCGATTAAAAGAAAATTTCACCTAAATAGCAATATTACTCAATTTGTGTATGAATAAAAAAGAGCTTGCCTTAGATTTGGCCCACTTTCTAAAAGCATTACAAATACTTTGTTTCTTTATAATGAAAATGAAGCATCACCAAATTTGTTAAACAAATGAAATTCAAGCTAATAGTATTAAAGAGCCAACTTTGCCTTTAGAATATAGATGTCCTCAGCCCTAACAATAATGACCAATCATGTTTACAATCATTCAACATCGAACGATTGCACAAATAGTTTTGACAACATCTATGATGATCGATAGGACTATTAACCATCATCCTCTCAAATTAATTATTCTGTGCGGTCACCGAATGACGTCCAAAGACGAATGAGAACGCGTCAAAATCTTATTCACCTCGGGACCGTTCGGTGACCGCACATAATAATTTCTCCGCCCTCTAGACAATCAACACGTCTTTTTCATTTTATCGCCACCTAATTTATGACAACAAAATGCCAAAGTGGTGAAGTTTGTCATAAGGAAGCTTCTAAGCTCATTTATAGAAGGAAAATCCCAGCTTCTTTCATAAATACCTCATGTAACCATGCATTATAAATAATTTGCCTCCTATAAACCTTAGCTGCCAGCAATGTAAGTGGGTAAAAGAAAAATCCAGAGCTTAAATAAATACTGCACGTGTAAGACCCTACAAGTAAAGACATTTTGATGCAAAATATTAATGATGATGCAAAATAATAATGAATAATTCGTAAAAAGCCTTGAAGAAATCACAGGATGAAGGAAGAAAGAGAGAAGCAAGACAAAGAATCATACACCCAATATGTAACAAACTAAGAATAATCTTCATTACAAGGATGATAAATTCTGTAATATAATAGTAAAGACATTTTGTTCATGATGAATAGTTGTTGAAATTTTTTTCCTTAAAATTGTTTTAATTTTATGTTATCAGATCTGCAATTTTGAAGATAGCTTGATTACTTCTCATAGAAATAATCAAATATGTGATGCTAGAACATGTTATGTGAAATATCTATGATAATCCAAAGGTTGATATGGTCATTAAACTAAAATATCATTCAAATTTGAAGCATAAATTAAATGATTTTTGTAGTATTTTAACCATGAAATGTTTCCTATACTAACACATAAGACAATATTGCCCATGAAAAAAAAAAAAAAACAGAAAAATGAAAACTAAGTATAAAGTACAAACTAATAAAAAATGATAATTCAATTAAAAATAATATGAAGTGATAAATAACTCATCGTTGCCTTCATGACTTCTACAATGATTGTTCCACTGATCCACAATCTCCTCTCTACTCCAAGTTTAGGGTTCTTCTTCTCCACGAACTTTATCACCTGAACTAACCCAGCAACTAGTTGAATCCATGTAACCCTCAAGAGCTTTGTTTTGGCATTAACAAAAGTAACATTTTATATTGGCATCCAAAGATAATGGAACTTAACTATAGCATTCCCACAGTACATGACTTCCTAATTTCTACAAATATATTACAGATAGGGGTGTCAAATCCAACACGACCCAAACTCCGACCCAAACATGACATGGAAAATTCTAGGATCGGGTCAACCCATTTGTCATATGGGTCATGTTCGGGTTGACCCAGAAAACCGAAACCAATCCGGATTGACCCGTTTTCATCATCCTGCGTGAGATTGTCACGTAAAGCATCAGGTCTCCTACCGTCGTTGCATCGCGTCATGTCGCTGCGTCATGTTACGCCGTCACATTCGCTGTCGCCGCCATCCTTCCTGCCCATGGTGCGCGCTGCCACTGCTGCTACAGCCGCCTTTCCACACATTATCACTGCCGCTGTTGTCCAGCCCATGGCCGAGAGTCAAGAGGACGAGACTCAGTCGGAGAACCCGCTCTGCAGCCTCTGCTGTCGCGCTATTTATAGCCCTCCCGTGTCAAGTCGGGTCAACCCGGTAACCCGCATGGGTCAAATCCGGGTTGACAAACCTAACCCATTTGCAAAATCAGGTTGGGTTAGTGTCAACCCGTTTGCGGTCTGGTCAAGTCGAGTTCGACCGAAACACATCCCGTTGCCGGAATTGCCACCCTAATTACAGAACAGTTTCGAGTTTACACCTAAATGACATTAAGCTATCAGCTATAAACACGCCACAAAAATATTCTAACATCTCAAATCTAGAAAATCGGGAACCTCATCTTATCATTGCTCAGTTGGGTACCTAGAAATGATTGAAAGGTGATGAAAGCAATGATGAAGACCTCAAATCAGCGAGAACATCCTTACAACCAAGACAAACATCGACCAATGCCAAAAAAGAACCACCAATTCAAGCGTTAACAAAAAAATCATATCAGCATAAACAACATGCTTAAAGGAAGAAAGAAAACCGACTAAGCAAACACTTGAAAGACTGTAATTAATATCCTCCGGCAACCAAGACATGCATAATCCACTAGATCGCACTTTTATCGATGAAAGAAACAGTAAAGCGTGCCTTCCACAAGTCACAAGTTGTATAAGTAAGGCAAGCTAGAAGAGCTAGATCAGATATTCCTTGAAGCTACCTCAAACGGCAGGGCGGGGCCTGGAGGGGTCTTCGCCATGGGAAGCGTGGAGGTTGTTGAGCTTGGCCTCGTCGAAGGGAATCTTGGGGTGACAGGCATCTTGGTGGATCTACAGCGACTTCACATCGGAGAGCTCGGTCTTCCCCGCTATCCCCGCTATCCCCTCTTCCTTCTCGTCGGCTCCTCTGCTTCTCGGAAACCCTAAGTCAAGCCTACTTGTAAACTGGCTTGAGCTAAGTCAAGTTTGAATTGGCCTGAAATCTACACATCGGCTCCGCACCAACTCCTTTAAAAAATATTAATATAAAATATACTTAAAATATATTATGATTCAAAATTATAAGAACAAAGTTGTTAAAAAAAATATTATGATTCAGAATAAAATTATATCTTTATCATATTTCTTATAATATCTTATTATTTTTATCATTTAATTATAATAACTACTTAAATCATAATTATTTTATCATTTTATCTCGTTAATAACTACTTAAATCATAATCTTGAGCTCGAGCTCAAATCAAGGGTGACTCAAACTTGGCTCGATTTGTTTACACCCCTACACCGTAGCTTACTAAGCTCCTAAGCATTGCTTTACCCCATGCTCCCGATCACGCCCGACCATCCCATGTATGTGCCCTACCTCACCTAGAATTGCCGCTCGAGACGACTCACTTATTAACTTGCGTGCTTCTCTCTTTTCTATGATTTTTCCATAACATAGAATTATAAGGTTGTGACTTGCTAAATTTTATTAGAATTTGATTATAAGTTGGATATTTACTTATATTTGCAATTTATTGCTTGTATTTAGATAAGTCATCAAATACCCTCCAACATAAAAGGTCAGCCTTTCGATGACCTAGTTATGGGAGTAGTTGTGTTGGATTTGACTTATTTAAGAAAGGTAGATGCAAACATAAAAAGAATTGGCTAGAAAATATTAGAAATTATCTTTTTTTGTTAAATTTGAATCAGAATTTGAGTCTTCGCAGGACATAATGGAGGAAAAAAATTCATGTAGCCGACTGCACTGTGTCGATTAAGAGTTTTTTTTTTAATTTCAGCTATGCAATTTTTTTCGCTTTATAAATCCGCTTAAAAAATCCTCAAATAAAAATATGGATAAAGTTAAAATGAAAACTTGAGAACAAAGAACCATAAAAAAATAAATAAATAAGAGACTTTCTCAAAAAAAATTTGGGTCCTTGCAAAAGGTAATTACTTAGGCTTCGTTTGAGATGACTTTCTAACTGTTTTTTAAAGCAGATTTTTAATACAAAAGTTTTTTGAACTAACAAATTTTTTTTACTAAAAAATTGTTCTTAGTGCTTGGATGGTTGTAATAAGGGAAGATGGAGTAGGTGAGGGGTGATGCAGACAAGGGACGCAAGTGAACGAACACGAACATGTATCGTTGCACGTAAGAGGGCAATTGCTAGGCATGGCCTTTATAAATAGGCGAATTCGAGCGGTTTTCAAATGCAACAACAAAACAATAACAACATCAAGCCTTCATCCCACCATACGGGGTCGACTGCATTAATCCTTTTTTTTCATTGTGTTCTATTAATAGTCAAATTCTCATTTAAATCTAATAAAGAAAGATCATTTCTAATATTTTCTAACAAAGTCTTCTTAGGTCCACCTCTACTTTTTTTAACATAAGTCAAATCAAATATATCTACTTTCCTAACTTGGTCATCAAAACGCCGCCGTTTTATGTGACCAAAACATCTAAGATTTTATTCATATTTTTATCATCAAATCAAGTATAAGAAAATTCAAATATAATAAAATAAAATGCAATACATACCTAATGCAGTCGACCAAACAATCTCTTAATCTTCCTCTTCCTCAGCATCAAAGATCTCATTAGTTGGGCTCTCTGGCCACCATCATTCATGAAATCTCCTGCTAATCTGATCAAGCAACTCATAAATCTCTTTTATCTGAGGGTGGCTTTGATCTCCAATGGAAAACTCCTCAACAACCCCATCAATCTCCACAGCACTTAAGCCTGGGCTTTTCCCTATGCCTCTCTCCTTCATCTCTTTCCTCAACAGAACAGCACCATCCCATTTGCCAAAATCTGCATAAATATTTGATAACAAGACATAGCTTCCTCCATGATTAGGCTCCAATTCCTTCAACTTATTTGTCACTTTCTCATCAATCTGCAACATGTTGTGAACTCTACAAGCTCCCAACAAAGCTCTGAATAGGATTCCATTAGGCTCCATTGGCATTTTCCTCACAACTTTCTCAGCCTCCTCAAGCTTTCCTGCTCTCCCAAGAATATCAACCAAGCAGCCATAATGCTCCAACTTGGGCAAAATCCCAAACTCCTCTTCCATTCTATCAAAGCACCGGCGACCGTCTTCTACCAGGCCGGCGTGCGAGCAGGCGGCCATGATCATCAGAAAAGTAACTTCATCAGGCCTTATTCCTTTTCTTTTAATCTCCTCAAACAAAGCTAAAGCTCCATGTCCATCGCCATGAGTGGCAAGCCCCCTCATCATGGCGTTATAGCAAAAAATATCCTTTTGAGGCAATTGCGTGAACACCTGGTAGGCCAAATCCAAGCGGCCGGAGTTGGAATACATGTCGATCAAAGCACCGCCTAAGAAGCAATTGAAGACAAGGCCGCCGCCGCTGCTTCTATTAAGATAGGCGTGCGCCCAGATCCCCTGGCTGAGAGCGCTGAGGTCGCCGCAGGCACCGATGAGAGATAGAAGCGTGATCTCGTTCGGCAGTGAAGCTGAAAGCTGCAATCTCTGGAAGAGAGAGAGGACTTCCTTCGCTTCGGAGCAGGAGAGAATGGCGTTCCAGGCGGGAAGGTCGGGTTGGGGAATCTGGTCGAAAAGTTGACGGCAGGAGCGGTGGCGGCCGCGGCGGGAGTGGAGGATGACGAGAGAGGTGAGCACGAAGGGGTCGAGCGGGAAAGGAAGGGTTTTTAGGAGGTGGGCGTGGAGAGCGAGGCCGGAGGGGAAGAAGAAAGGGGAGGCGGAGCAGGCTTTGAGAAGGGAAGGGTAAGTGTGGGAATTGGGGGAGGTGGGGATGGTGGCGAAGAGGGAGAGAGCAAGGAAGTGGTGGCCGGAGGAGGCGAGGGAAGATATCAGGGTATTGGAGAGGAAAGTGGAAGGAGGGCGAGGGGAGCGGAGGAGGAGGGAGAAGGAGTAGGAGAGGTTGCCGTCGAGGGAGGACGAGAGAGGAGGGAGAGAGGAGAGGAGGAGGAGGCGACTGAAAGGGTAAGAGTGGAGAGCGAGGCCGGTGGTGAGGAACAAGGCGTGGATTTGTTTGAAGCGGAGAGGGGATTTTGTGGGGGATTTGTCGATGAAGAAGATGAGGACTTGCTGCCAATCTACGGCTTGTTCGATCATGAGAGTTGCATTTGAAGAAGGAACTGTTCTTCGATTTTATTTGAATGAATTGAAGAATCTGCATTTTCTTTATATCATTGTAAATTTGAAATAGGGGATACATAAATAAAAAAAAAATGTAATTTAATCTTTTTGTATGCCCTTTGACTTAGAAGCTATTACATTGCCATTAAAATAAGCGTAAAATATTGATGTTTTATTGGATGAAAAAGAAACACAACATGAAATCATTTGTTAATCAAAATTTCATATCAAACATAACAAATTTAAAAAAAGGAATATTTAATTATGATCTACAACATGAAATAATTTCTATAAAAATTTAACTCTTCATTGATCATACCAAAAAAAAAAAATCAAGCTTTATCATATATTTCATCAATAAAAAAGTAAAAAACCGTACATTATAGCACTACATACTACAAAAAACACCAGTACTAAATCTCAAAACAATTGAAAGTCACTGCACTTTTGATCCCAATTCCTTTATACGATCATAAACTATACTCACTGTGAAAATTTTGATGCATCCACTTGACAAGCAATTTCAAATCTTGTAATCATGCAGACCACCACTTATAATGATATGATGATATTGTATTTGTAGATCATACTATAAAAATATAGGCTTCGTCTGGGATAGTTTCTTTTACTACTTCTTAAAGCAGTTTGCTAATACAAAATTTTTAATTTTTGTATTAAAAAGCTGCTTCAGGAAGCAATAAAAAAGCCGTCCCAAACGAAATCTTAATTATGCGAAGAACCTCTACTCTCCAGTAAAAATTACAAAATTCACCCCTCGCACACCCACCCAATAAAAAAAAAAAAAAACTATTGATCCAATTTTTGAAAGCTAGAATACTTAGAAAAAAAAGGATATTTAGGCACAGAAGCATTTCTTAACTGGACCAAGGGAAGAAAAAATTGATGGAGATTGTGGAGCTGGCGCAGGTGGTGAATTTCGAGGAAAATGCTTAAAGAATGCTCTTACTGCTCCATTAACCCCGTCTTCTGATTCCATGGCTTTTGCCAGTTCGACTGCTCGCTGCTTCACCTACAAAATTCGAATATCCAGTTCAAATTGGAAATAAGGAACTTAAAAACCGAACAATCTTTCTTCAGAGATTATGGGTATAAAAAATGATTGTAAAACTACGATCAGTTTAAAACAACTTTTTTTGAAGTTGTTATAGAAAGAAGCTTACTAGCATAGAATTTATTGAACACAATGAAAAAATAGTAGTCAAATAAAATTCATTGATACAGTCTGAAAAATAAAACAGTAAGAAAATTATACCGAATGAAATCTATGTGGTTTGATTGATGCAGGCTTCGTTTGGGACAGCTTTCTTGCTGCTTCTTAAAGCAGCTTTTTACTAAAAAACTGCTTTAAAAAGTAATAAAAAAGCTGTCCCAAATGAAGTCTCAATGTTTTAAAGATATTAACCTTGCTGAAGTATGAATGTTATTCAGATGTAAGACTGTTAGCTATAAAGTTTTGGGAATGTTATTCATCAAATGTTCTAAGATTGGTTCAATATATCAGATTATGGGGTTTGGTTGATTCAATGCTATAAAAATATTAATCTTACTGAAATATGAATGTTATACAAATGTAAGAATGTTATCTATAAAGTTGTTTATTTTGCACAATATTATCTATCAAATGCTATGTGATTAGTTCCATATCAAATATTATGTTGTTTGGTTGATTCAGTATAAAGTTCTTAAAATATGAATGTTACACAGATGTTAGTCTTACCAAGTTGCTTATTTTGGTCAATATTATCCATCCAATGTTGTGTGATTGGTTCAATATCAGAGATTATGCGGTTTGGATGATCCAGTGCATAAAAATGTTAATCTTGCTGAAATATGAATCTTATACAGATGTTAGTCTGTTATCCATGAAGTTGTTTATTTTGGTCAATATTATACATCAAATGTTGTGTTATGGTGTTATTGGTTTCATATCAAAGATTGTGTTTTGGTTTGTTCAGTATTGTATAAATATTAATCTTACTGAAATATGAATGCTATACAGATGAAAGTCCGTTTTCTACGAAGTTGTTTATCTTGGTCAATATAGGCTTCGTTTGGGATAACTTTTTGCTGCTTTCTAAAACGACTTTCTAGTACAAAAATTTCTACTTCACAAAAAAATTTAACTAAAAAACTAATTTAAAAAGCAGCAAAAAAGCTATCCCAAACGAAACCATAATCAATCAAATGTAGTGGGATTGGTTCAATATTAGAGATTATGTGGTATGGTTCATTAAGTGTTATAAATATTAATCTATCTAAAATACGAATATTATTCAGATGTATGTCTGTTATCTATAAAGTAAAATTGTGTGTTTTAGTTAATATTAATAATCAAATGTTATGTGTTTGGTTCAATATCAAATTAATCTTGCGTGTGAATATCCCTTAATTGAGCAAAATCTTAAATATCAAAAACATAAACTGAATAGTCATTTAAGTACTTCTATTTAAAAAGGCTAGCAAACTGAACTACTAATATCTAATAATGTAATAAAATAATAATAATAATAAAGGAGGTCTTAGAAAGTAGAAGTTTTTTTTTAAGCTAATTCTACCAACCAGCACCATTGAATCTACTGCGTATAAAATAAGCTGCTAAAAAGCACTAATAGTCATGTTACTCACATGACTATTAGAATAAAGAGTTTGGAGAAAAAATAGGCCAATATTCAAACTTTAAATTTATTTTAAAATGAGTATAATATATAAATAATCAATTAACTTTTTTAACTGCACACATCTTAAAATAAATCTAACAATTTTAAAAAACACTATTTTGATTGAAATATTCTCACCAAATTCTTTTCTTAAGGGTTTACCTGTGGATCCATCATGAATTTTATTGATTCAACAAGCTTTGGCAGTGAAAATTGGTCAACGGGAATAGGTTGAGGTCCTAATCCCCTGGCATGCACTCTTTCACCCCAGAAAGGCTGATCACCAAAGAATGGTACAATTGTAGTTGGACACTGCACATCATAACCAAACGCCATGGGTACTAAATTTAAAGGAGTACATGGCATACACTCTTGTGAGACCGAAATATACAAACAAGAAGATCAACAATACACACCGCAGCTTTAAGTCCGGCTGCTGTGGTTCCAGCACCTCCATGATGCACCTGAAATAATAATAATAATAATAATAATAATAAAAGGCTGAAAAGTGAGACTGACATAATCACCTTCAGCAGAAACAAATGAATAAAAAAAAAATCAAAGAAGTTGTTGTGATAATAATTAAAGAATGAAAGAAAACCAGGAGATTCAATCCCATTGATTTTATACATTCAAGTAAGATTTTTAAATCAGTCCAGGTGATTCTATCCCATTGATTTTATCTACTGACCATGAAGGACTTCCAGATTACTAGCTCTTCAGTATCTACTATGAATGGGGCTCCACAGTATTGACGAGGATAGTTTCTCGCTCCTAATGACATCTCCTTCGTGAGGATGCTCTTCCTCTCAAGAAGTTAATCATTAGTCCTTTACCTTTTGTTTTGCTTCGCGAAATTGCCTGGGAGATCTTTCAGAGACTAATTGGTGTCAATCTTGTATGCGTAGATCTTCTTCTTGATCATTTTCTTTATCCTCTTCTTCTTAAAGTTTGCAAGGTTTATTATTATTATTTGAGATAAATGAGATGAGAACACCAATCTCTTGAAGACATCAAGTAGGGTCTCTCAGTATTGGCATAAGGTCGTATGACAAAGCTTGGCATAAGAGAAATGCTTTATGAGAGAGAGATCGAGAGAAGAGGTAAAACACTTAGGATTTCAAAGTGGGATTTCTTGGTTAGAGGGAGAAAAATGAAGTGGAGAGAGAGAAGAGGGAATCTATGAAAATTATGGGGATTTCTTAATACTAATGCATATTATAAAAATAATGTCTTGTTTACCCTATTTATAGAAATAGAGTTTATAATTTAAATTGAATTATAAACTTATCTTCAACTTTAAATTCAAATAAAATCTAATCTAATTAAAATTTAAAACCAAAATTTAGATTAGTTTAGAATTCGGTCGAACCACGATTATAAATTTGGGTCATGTTGTACTCCTTCATTCAATGCAAAGCTCCCTCTGTTGAGTGAGAGAGTGCCCCAGTAGTCTCCAAGTCATATGGCCTCGTATCTAATGCATGCAGTAAGGACCCAAGGAAGGAGAAACATTTCATCAAAACCTTAGTCACTTTTTCATGGCCAATTTGAACAAGAACACAACCTACCAACTTATTGATAGCTGAGCAGCAAGATCTACCCCTAGCCTAAATCTGGTCACCATGGCACCATCAAAGTTCTTTCTACAATATAAGTCACTGTAGGAGCAGCATCCTCCACCTTAGGAGTGTGGGAGCTTGCTTAGGAGCCACAACATGGTATATTGTATAACCTTGCGTGATGCCCCCTCAGCAATGGCCTTATTTATAATGATAATCATTGTGACCTCCTACAAGAACAAATTAAGGTTTTGTTTGGGACGGCTTTTTTTTCTGCTTCTTAAAGTAGCTTTTTAGTAAAAAAATTTAATTCTGTACTAGAAAGCTGCTTTAATAAGTAGAAAGAAAGCCGTCCCAAAGGAAGCCTAAGTGAAAAAAAATTCGGTAAAGGTATGTCATGTCACGGCACCAAAAATGAACAAACAAGGGTTTTGCAGTCTAGAAAGTAGAGACTGAACAGAAGGACCTGAGGACAGAAGTGACAAAGGGTTTTGCTTTCTCTTATTGGCTGTATGTACAAAGATTCTTTTCACCCATAGTAGAACCAAAATACATGGCGACAAAAGAGGAAAAGAGCAGAACGGAGTAGGAGTGAAGGAAAACGATAGAACAAACGATCTTTTGTATTGCATCCTAACCCCTATTTTTGAATTTTTAATAGGATTAGAAAGCAAGGTGGTGTTGATCTTAGAAGCGAATCAATTAGAAGAATTACAGGTCTCATATTACTAGTCAGGTCCAAAGCACATAATACTAGGGCACCTTCTGAAGTTAAAAGATACAAGAGGCATTGGAAACTAACAGTTGAATACTCTACCGGTGCAATGCACCAGATCATTGGAAATCTGAGAAGATAGAGGACCAATTGTAAGGAAAAGAAATCAACTACTCAATAAAGGATACTAGACCCATTCTGAAAATTTGATAAATTTGAATCATTACTAGCCGCTTCCAATGATTTAATATTTATCTAAATGAACCAAATATATTTTGTAAGCATCAATTTAAATCCTCATATTCACGTTTCTTTTTTATCATATGATATAATCCTTTTTGATTATATGATGTAAATGGATTATTTTGAGTGTTGACTTATTTATCCACTCAATTTGGCTATAACACATTGATATGACTATTATATAGAATGGAATATAGCAACAGCCAAATCATTATAGCAAATAGCCTTAATATATACATACACTAATACAATTTTTTTTTCCAATGACTTTGCAACGGCATTGCACAGTAATGATTTTGCATTAAATAATTGATTTTAATCTGAGATATACTTCTTTGGAATTCTATTTTTTTAAATGTTTTAATGATTTATTTTATTAAATTCTATAAATCACAAATTTTTTTAATGCTAGGCTAACAAAAGTTATGTAGAAATTTCTTGTAACTAGGGGTGTCAATATATGACCTGACCCGAAAATCCGACCCAAACTCTAACTGAAAATTCTAAATTCGAGTCGAATTCGGGTTTAATTTTTCAAACCCAATTGAAATATCGGGTTGGGTTCAGGTTAACTCGCGAACCTGAACACAACCCGTTTGGCCTGTTCGTCGCTCGCTCGCTTGGTTTGTTGGTTGCATCTCGCCCTTTGAGTTCGCACTCATAGCATTGCTCGCGCTCGTTGCTTGCCCTCGCGCTCGCTTGCTTGCACTTGCCTGTCACACTCAATCGAGTTAGCAGGTCATGTCATGTTGGGTCCGGTTGGGTTCAGGTCAAGATTTTTAACTCGTTTGGACAAACGAGTCTGGCTCAGGTTTGATGTGTTAAGAGTGACTCAATATTGGGTTTGACTCTATCCTTCACTCTCATTAAGAACAAAATTTCAAGTGCAGATAAAATGTTTTTCATGTTTAAGAGAGAAGAGAAAGATCATTTGCAAGCAATAAGGTAAACAATGGACATTGTGTTGTAAGATCATTTTAGTTTTTCAATATTTTGGTTTGCTATATTGTGCTAGATTTAGTATCAACAAAATCTGAATTTATCTTTTGCTTTAAAAAAAAAAGAGCTATAAATTATTGTAATTTAGCTTTGTGTTTAGGTTGTGAAGATTTCCCCATATACACTTTGAGTCTACTTGGAATGGTTGTATCATTTTGTAAAGATAATTGTGAAGCAGTTGTGAAAAAAATAAAATTTTCATAGCTGCTACGACTATTATAAATATGTTTGTTTTTGAAACAACTGCTTTCTTACAACTATCAAACATTAGCAAATCCGATTGGAAAAAAAAAGTTTCATATCACAAAATTTTTTGAAAAGAAATGAAAAATCAATAAGCAATCAACTACCAAACGGAATCATGATTGCAGCCTAAAAATCTAAGCGGTGAAAAAGATGCCCATAATAGATTCTTAGTGTAAATGAGCTTTTTATTTGGGTGGTAGAATTCTAGTTTGTGAGTTTGGTTAGTCTTGCATCTAGGCATGAGATGAACTACATAAAAATTGATTTGTGTGCTTTACATCTTTTGCATTTTTTTAAGGATTTTTATTAATTTGCAACTTAACTTGGCATAATTTATTTTTAAAACTTTAATATATCAATTCATCCCGCTCTTGGCGTGCTATAACCATCACAAGGGAACCCTATTTGCCATTGAAAACAAGAAATCAAAGCACACAACTTAAAAGCTTCATCATGCGATGAAATACTACAATTTCTACAAATATCATATGTAATATTTTAGTAAGGACTTTTCATCCATAGAAACCTAGCTTCCACGGAGAGTTTGAGTAGGCCCCTCCCTCCTTCCCTCAACAAAACACTACAATTTCTATGGATACCCCATGCCATGTTGTAATGAAAACTTATTTTCCATCCATGGAACCTCAAACACCACTGAGGAGAAAAATTCAAAGCTCATGTGAGTGGGCTCTGAAAATTCACACCCGGCCACTACTGAGAGAGTTCTGGAGTTCTTCAGGTCAATTTTTTCAGAAGGAAAATTAATCCGAATATAAAATACTGTCCAACACCCTTATTTTTGAGAACCTTATGTTTTGATTTCATATTTCTCACGGGTGTAAGTTACTATAATTGATTATCCATCTTAGTGGTGGAAGAGAACTTTCAACCAAGTCTAATCGTTAAAAAAATACTAAGTGCTTAGCATATAATAATAACCAATCGTGTTTTGGATTAGAAATTTATCACCATTAACTTAAAGTTGATGGTGGGGGGATGATGATGAACCCAATCAAGATCTCATAATTTCATCATCCTGAGTCATCATGGTCCCTAGTCAACTTAGTCAAAAGTATGTAGTCAACCTAATCTAGCCGAAGGATCCTTATCGACAACTATGAGTTATTTCATACAAGGGAACCTTATAGACTTGGGATAAATATTTATCTAAACGGGACAAATTTTTGTAGAGTTTAGCTAACAAAAGTTTTGTGCCCTATCAAATACACTATATGATTCAATACTTTTTTTAGCCCTCAGAAAACTTAGGAGCTCTGTTGTGATCATAATTTAATGTTGTTATTTCGAGGACAAACTATCAGATTAGAGAGCTTTGATTATAACCTTTTATCCATGGTTTCATTTAACTACAAAAAAAAAAACACTTAGATGACACATGTCACTTCCTTATAATAAGATGCTTAACAAGATATTGACTCATAGTAAGATGAGGTTATTCTTACGTTTATCACCCTTGGCAAACAATTAGGAAAGGTAGACGAGACTTTGCTTTAAGTATTAGATGGAATAAATTTCACTTAAAATATTTGAATTTTATGAACTTTCTTGAAGGATGATGACCTCTATTTGGCTCCGAATGAATTAGGTCTTCCGGTGAGGTTTGGGTAAACCATTTAATTGTGTCAAGTATCATTTTAGTTCAATTTTAGAGATTTTTTTTTTGGCTTGTTTGTAACCCTACTTGAGGCACTAGTTTTCATAAAGATCAATTGTTTAGTTTTCTCCTTCATAAATACGGTGTCAGTACTCGTATAAAAATAATGCTTCTTCAGACATGAAATAACATAAAGGATGAAAGGGCCTTACTACTGCCTTGCACTGCAAGAAAAGCCAGTCATGAGGAACATTATCCAGCAGATACACGAAGTCCTTAGGTTCTGCCACTGAGTAAAATTTAAAAAAAATGCTAAAATTGAAATATAAATATTTATGAAATTAAATAGAAAATGGAGCTCTATACTTACAATTTCCAAGGCCACCCCAACCTTTATTAATGATACCTCTCTGTCCAGTTATTTCCAAAGCCTCAACAATTGTTCTTGTCATTTTCTCCGGTTCTTGAACAGGCTGAGGTAGACCAAATTTGCAACTTCAAAAAACAAATGCAAGTAGAATCCTACTAACAATACTGACATAATCGGTCTAAGTGCAAGACTGGAGAAATAAAATAATATCAGCACTCATTGGACTAATCATACTTACAAAATTCAAGAGAAACACTAAAGAAAAACAGTGCTCAAGTCAAATTGATGACAGATTTGAAAAAAACAAGAAAATTTATAGGTCCTGCCTCTCAAAAGGAGAAACATGCTCGACACGGCTCTTCTAAAGAACACATTTAATTCTAGTATGAATTGCGAGTTTAGATATTCAAGGCAAAATATTTAGTTCATGAACCTCAAACTTCCTTAGGAACATTGTAGTGAATAAACTGGAAGAAAATCTATTTAAATTCTAGATGCACAACAACAATTTCAATAACATAAAGCAATGTGCAACAAAATATCACACATGACTGTTTTGAAAATACCCATAATTACACAAGTGTATTTCATAGGAAGTGGATACTTTTTTTTCACAAAGTTAGCAGATGAAGCACGAAAAAATGGGAAGAAGAACGCTCCAAAATAATTTTTATTGAAAGAACTATAAAGAGAAATGCAATATAGAGGAAGATCCCGCTCTCCCAAATCCCTAGTCGCTGGCTTAAGCCCAAATAGCCTAAGAATAAACTAAATTAAGCAAACAAAACATCCCCAAACCATAGTAAAAATATCCTACTTAAAGCATACAATAAACAACAAATACCCAAACAACCCATCTCTAATTCCCTCCCAAATTTGTTATATTTCCTTAATTATTTCTCTCCCAAATCAGCTCTCAAATCAACCCCCAAATCTGCCCTCTTCAATTAGGAAACACTTCCCAATTAATCCCCTTCAAATCAGCTCCCAAATCAGCCCTCTTCAATTGAGAAACATTTCCTAATCAATCCCCTCCAAATCAGTGCTCAAATATGTCATCTTTAAATAGGAAAAATTTCCTAATTAATCCTCTCCAAATCACCCCCTAAGAGCCGGTCCAGGAAAGGACCAATAGGATCGGTTCAAAAGGGACCCGGTCTAACAGCATAATGCATCCAGGTGCAAAGGGAGTAAAAATATTACATGCAAGTGTATTTTGCACGCAAAGTGGAAGATTCTTTTTGCACAACTTATACAGTAATTTGCAAGGTTTAAAATTAAATAATTAGGTATTGAGGCGTTTTTCGTTCGTGAGGCGAGGTGTAAGCCTCAAGGCGTTTTGAGGCGTAAGCCTCAAAATCTAAAAATTGTGTAAAGTAAAAAATAAAAGTTAAAAGTGATTTTTTATATAATACCCAAATAATATGCTAAATGATGGTATATTAACTTTCTATTAAACTATAAAGTGACAAATTTATATACATATGAAACAAAAAATCACACAAAATGTAAAGTGATAAGTAATAAATTATATTAAAAAAAAGTAATAAATTATATTAAATAGAATTGAAATTCAAATATCACATGAGAAAAACAACATAAAATATATGAATTGCATAAACACATCATATAGCATCAAGTTTAGCTCTAAATTTTTTCTTTCTCAATTCCCTACTCATCTACATTTAATTACTGATAAAGTTAAAGTAATTTACAACAAATCAAAAATCATCTGTATTATCATTACTAAGAGAATTTTTATTTGAGTCGTCATAACAAATTGACCTCTCATTTGTCTCATATTGTAGGGTCCAATACCTACCAATCTACTTTATTTATTTCAACCATCTTTTTCTTTCATAAATATTTTTCATCAACATAAAATAGGAGTAAAACTTAAATTTTTATAGGAGATGATGGCGGTACGCGGATTTCAAGTGATCCCTGGCGGCGGCTATGATGGTGGTGGCTACAGCGAAGACGGTGGGCTGGAGGTCGAGTCAGTTGAGCGGAAGTTAATGCGGCTTTGGAGCACAAGAGGGCATGATTTTTTTGGGGCTTTGTATAGGATTTAGCTAAGTTTTAAATAAAAACATACATAAATAGAGCAAGGCGTATGCCTCATGCTAGCGAGGCGGGGAACGCCTCAAGGAGGGCCTTCACCAAGATGAGGCGTAAGCATCATAAAAAAAGTTCGAGGCGTAAGCCTCAAGGTGTTTTTCACTGAAATTGCGCTGAGGCGGGCCTCATATTGCGCAATTTCAAACAATGATAAGTTGGGAGAAAGTAGCTATGGAAAGTAATTTCAACATGCTACATACAAATTTTAAAATCATTAATGCTATAGAAAAATACCATATTATTTCTACAAATGCATGGTCATGGATGTTCATAAGCTACCAATTATATGAATTGGAAATTTTATTGTGAGCATGGTTGTAAAAGATAACTGAAAGGAAAAAAAAACAGCTTTAGATTGTTTACGGCAATGCTGGCACAGATAATTGTTCTCTCTTTTTTTTTTTTTTTCTTTTTCTTTTTCCTTTTTTGCATTGGAAAGTAATCTCACAGTGCTATTGCAATCATTTTGGCTAAAACAGCAGCTGAAAGCAGCGAACTACTCCACATTCATGCAGACTTCGGACCTAATAGCCACGAGATGGTTAGCATGGGTCCCATAACAACCAGAGAAGGGAACAGGTACGAAGTACACAAAAGACAGAAAGATAAATGTGACCCTGATGAGGCTGTTGTCAATTGTCATTGGTGAACAGGGATCAGTAGTTTTAAGGTCAAAGGAAGATGGTTGGAAACAAAACTGAATAATTTTTAACTCAGCATTGTTTCTATTTCTCGGGCATAGAAAAAACTCCGCCTATGAAACTTAGTTCTCACGCATGGAATTCTTGTAGCCACATCATTTAAATTGTTCAAAAATTCTCAAATCAAATCAACAAACCTAAGAGCTTCTCAACAATCAATCTATCAACACGGTAACCCAATCTCTGGCTCATCCTCCAGCGTTAATGCCTCTTAATGCCTTGGTTTAAATATAAGTTAAAAAAGTACACTTGGGGGGTTAAGATAGCTTCCCCCAAAATTTTATATTCCCTGCTAACACCATTGCTAGTTATAATCACATCCAATACAACATGCTCCGTGAAATATTATTGGAAAACTTCATTTTACATGCCTCAAATATTTCATAGTGCCACGTCCTTAATGATGAAAAATCATTTAAGAGTGAATAAAATGATACATTTGATAACATTTGCTCTTTGTATGCATAGGTTAATCTTAAATATATCATTGAATGCATAGGTTAATCTTAAATATATCATCCTCATCAAACTATTACAAAGGGTTGATGGGTTGTTGTTTTAAGTTTTGGGTCAGATTTTACTTGAATATTTTTATATTTTAGTTCTTAATTGTATAATTTTATAAGAATTTGAGTCTCATAATGATTTTCTTTGAGATTTGGGAGACTTTTTATATTAATATTCCCTCTAGTTGAGATTTCCAATCAACACGATCATCATCAGAATAATAACATTTATCTTTTATCACTTTGAACCATATCAATTATCCTAGCTTGCTAGCAGAGAATTGGGTTCATGGGATTTAAGTCTTGTCGAGTCGACTCCAATATTTGTGATGTGGAGAATGGGACATGCAACATAAGACTTAAAACCTTACACTATAGATAGGGCAGCCTACTTTAGATCATCATGCAGCATTGAGAGTGTAATCTTATAATTAAAAGTGATTTAAGAATTTTCATAAATGGTTTCTTTTCAAAAAGGCATGGTTCTCAAAGTAAGGTTGTTTTAAGTTTTTCAAGTCACGCAACACGCAGACATGCTTATCTTTAAGAGTTTGAACACAATTTAGAGAGCCTGCACATTTTTTGTAATAGTTATACACTTTTCTAAGCAGGGGAAATTTGAGTTCATTTTCTCTTTGGCCAACACAGAATTTTTTATCTTTAGATTTGAATATTAGCACCTTTGTCAGATCTTGCATATATCTCGGTGCACTTGTATACATTTTTCAAAGTATTTGCATGACTTTTGAGGTCTCATGTTTAAATAGAAGATTATCTCACGAAGTTTGTGCAAGACCTGAAATTATCAAGATTTGATTGTTTACAAAAGCATATTGTCGTTAGAATGGGCTACCAAAGCCAATAAACAAATAACAAAAATCCATAAAAAAAACTAATAGGAGGAATAAAACTCACAAGGCTACCAAAGCCAATATAGATGGGCTTTTCACCAGCTTCAATCCATTTCACAAGTGATTCTGGGGGCTGATAGTTTGATGCAAGATCAAGAAAGCAAAATCCAACAACATCAATTTTAGGTCCCCAATCTGCAAGAAATTTCTTACACATCTTAAAAGAGTGCTGAATCAAACAATGGGTAGAACTTGAATAGGCTAGATTTCCATTTGCATGAATATATGCTATGAAGAAAATCTATATCAATGACAGCTAGAATACAGTAAAGAGAAATGAAGGACCACAAAATTCCACACAAATCCCCCATTATGTTATAGATTTGTATTTCTTCTGTTATTACACAAAAATCCAATATATATTTATTTGAACCTATATAAAAATTTTTCCAGAAGAAATTTCTTTCACTTATGATAGAATATTACTAAGCCATACCCTTTGGCTTGGGAACAAGATGTGGGCTCCAAATATATCCATGTGGTATATCAGAAGAAGAGCCTTGTGCACCACTCAGATATGTAACGGGACGCAACTTCAATTTTTTTTTCCTAAATTGATTTATCATGTCTCGTATACCAAGCCAAATCATAGAATCGACAATCTGATATGAAAGCTGCAAAATGAAAAAAAAAAATAAAATCATTTAGCAGATGACAAATATTCAGAAAGTTCTAAAACATTAAATGATAGTCTTTATGGAACATCAAATGAGTAATTGAAGATAAATGATCATAAAAGAAAACAAAAGAGTATTCAACTCAGAAAAGCTTCATCTAATCCTAACAAATAAAAAATAAAGGGACAGTTTTCTACTGAATGAGTTGACTCATTCTTTTAACAAAATATGAATATCATGTAAGATCAACAAGAACCTCCAGTAAACAACAAGAATACATGTCAATATCCTCAAATAAAGCAGATACCTAACATTCAATATTATTTTATATATATCAAGGATTTGGAAGCAATGGATTCCGAGAATGTCGCGTCTATGTGCATATGTGTGTATAATAGACTATCCTTAACAGGTAGTGATTTATTTCACAATTTAATTTTAGTTTTTTTTTTGTATAATACCATATCTAATTGACAAATCAAACATTCAAATTACTCTTTGATGAAGGTTGTATCATGTAAAACCACTCCGGAAGATACACACTTCTTAAAGCTATTACACATTTTATTATCGTTGATATTCATGTGTGACCCACAAATTGCTCAACCGAATGCAATAATAATGGTGGAAGATAGGTGTAATTTCACAAGAAATTGACTCCAAATATCTTGAATGTCATTCATTTCATCTAATAGACTATCCCGATGTGTCAGAATGCTGAAACAATCCAAGAATGACAACCCATATTGCGAATGTTGTAGTACTAGAAGAGAAAAAAATTTGCCACATTGAAGGGTGGGCTGTTGGAAGTTCGCACGCATGCGTGCTCATTCTAAATATATATTTCTATATACAAAGCATAGAAAAATCATAACTTATAAAAAAAAATAAAACTTTGAAAAATGCACCTCGCTCCCCACTTAACAAATTAATGTCACCTACATATTCAAGTGGCATAGCTAACATGGACCAAAATACCCCACCAACCTTGCGAATGCATTCTCCTTCTATGACAGACACCAAATGGTGCCATCCTTAGATAGGAAGCAACTAGCTTGCATGTGAATTTGAAAAATAAAGATAAATTTGTACATGTATCACATGGGAGACACCTATTTCCCCCACCCACTCAACAACTTAAGACTCCATCTCAAAAAAACTCCCAACATCTTTGTCCCCCTCTCAATCATTCACTCATGAACACCTAGTGACAATGAGTTTCATGAGTGAATAATAGTAGGGAAATTTTTAGGCATAATGTAGGCGGGGGGTTTCAATTCTTCTTGTCCATGGGCTGCTTGTTGTTCTTAGTTTGGAGATGTAATTTTAGGAAGTTGTATGTGTTGTTTTATTTTAATTTCATAAGTTTGTATAGCTCATTCTGCAGGGGATCTATCGAATCACCTTTTGTCGGAACCCATCTGTCCATTGAAATTATTTCTTCAACATGTTTGGACTGATTTTCATCCACCACTGGATCACTATTTTTATCTTTTTCCATTTTTTCTAAAAGAAGACTCAACAAAATTTAAATCACTTGATAACAAGACTCACATGACACTCGCATTCATGACACCAAGACACACACAACTTGCTCTGATACCAAATTGATGCAAGCAAAAATTTAGGAAAAGCCCCAATTTTTTGCAAGCAAATGATATACTCTTCCTAGGATAAGAAAATACAGAAATACTAAAAAAAGAACAAAATTACATAAGATAAAGCGACAACATTTGCACAAAACAAAATACAACTTTAATATTAAAAAAATGACGCATACAACTTATATAATTAAAACAAACATCTTATAACTCTTGACAAACATAAAACACCTAAAGAAGCTTGCATTCGTCGAGAAGAAGGATACAAGTGAGGTGGATACTTGCAGATAGAAGAATTATATTAGAAGCCGAGACGAAGAGCGGAGTAACTCGCAAGTTATCCCAAGATAGAGAGGAAGAAGAACTGGAGCAAACTCTCAAGCTTTCCAAAAACCCTCAGGTTTTCATGTCCAAAAATCAGCATCTTAACCAACCTTTTCAAGCCTCAAAACCATCTCAACCAATTCTTCTTGTCCATGGGCAGCTTGTTGTTCTCAGTTTGGAGATGTAATTTTAGGAAGTTGTATGTGATGTTTTATTTTAATTTCATAAGTTTGTATAGCTCATTCTGCAGGGGATTTGTCGAATCACCTTTTGTCGGAACCCATCTGTTCATTGGAATTATTTTTTCGATATCTTTGGACTGATTTTCATCAACCACTGGATCACTATTTTTATCTTTTACCATTTTTTCTAAAAGAAGACCCAACAAAATTTAAATCACTTGATAACAAGACTCACATGACACTCGCATTCATGACACCAAAACACACACAACTTGCTCTAATACCAAATTGATGCAAGCAAAAATTTGAGAAAAGCCCCAAATTTTTGCAAGTAAATGATATACTCTTCCTAGGATAAGAAAATACATAAATACTCAAAAAAGAACAAAATTACATAAGATAAAGCGACAACACTTGCACAAAACAAAATACAACTTTAATATTAAAAAATGACGCATACAACTTATATAATTAAAACAAACATCTTACAACTCTTGACAAACATAAAACACCTAAAGAAGCTTGCATTCGTCGAGAAGAAGGATACAAGTGAGGTGGATACTTGCGGATAGAAGAAATATATTAGAAGCCGAGACAAAGAGCGGAGTAACTCGCAAGTTATTCCAAGATAGAGAGGAAGAAGAAATGGAACAAGCTCTCAAGCTTTTCCAAAACCCTCAGGTTTTCATGTCCAAAAATCAGCATCTTAACCAACCTTTTTAAGCCTCAAAACATCTCTAATTTATAGGCAAAAGAAAGAAGACAAACAGCCACATCACCTCCAACCAAAACCAATCAGTTTTGGGGAAATGAAAGGCCAAAAGACATTAAACAACCAACAAAATTTCTGCACAGAAAACAGAGAAACAGCCCAAGGAAAACCCCACCAGCAGCCACGGGAAACCAGCCAGCAAGAGACCAGAAGAGCTAGCACAGGAGACAAGGCAAGCTTCACGAGAAAACAACCAAGGAATAAAACCAAGAGGGGTTGACCACGGGAACAGCAACAGCCAGCAGAAACTAAGAAGATAAAGGGGAAAAGGCAACATTATGAGCTGAATTCTACACCACTTAATGAACTAAACTTCAGCTCATAACGAGCTAGCCCACAACTCAAACTTTAATGAGCTAGAACCAACTAGAACCCAAAATTTTGAACTCAATACCAAACAGCCAAGGCCCAATCCGTAAGCAGCAAACATCTCCAAACTGAGAACAACAAGCAAGCCATGGACAAGAAGAATTGACCCCCCCGCCTACATCAAGGCACCTCATGTGCAACCCATTTACGTCATTTTGACAAAGTCACAAGCATATTCTTTGTTAAATTTTGGGTGATTCATGAATAACATATCCCACACAAATACCCCTAACCATCTTTATTGGTGTGATGGAATATATTTCATAGGTTGTGGCGCCTCTTGTACCGCATTCTAAATATCTTAACACACAAAGAAGGACGACCTACTTCTATTACTACATTATAGGGCAACATGAATGCTCTTCTGACATTTGGGAGATAACAAAGTAATGTTAGAGCACAAAAATATTGATGAAGTGCAAACATGATGCAAGTTTGAGTAAAAATAAAATAAAATAAAACTCACAATCAATAAAGGCTTACAAACAAACCTGCAAATAATAGCATGCAGCATAATGCATTATAAAGTGAGTGGCTGTTACGACGGCCCAGGAGGGGCCGGCTGGACCTATCCAACCAGGACCGGTCCGGTTCAACACCCGGCGGCCCAAAGCCGAGCGGAACAAGGCAAAGGGGGGGGGGAGTGTTGGGAGGCCCATGCATGAGTTAAACACATTGTTTGGAGAGAATTTTTGAATTAGAAGGGTATTTAGGGAATTTGTATCCTTCCTTTATCCTTAATTAGGGAGTAATGAGAGAATTAAGGTTTTTATCTTGAATTTGAATTGTCATTTGAGATCTAGCTTTTCTTGCTTTGGGCTCTTGGCATTGCCGGAGATTTGGAGAGTTACTATTCCTCTCGGATCGAAGAACATTGTATCGTTTGCTGCTTTTATTCATTCACTAGTGGAATACAAGTGTTTGCTTGGTTTTCTCTAGGATTTCCTCCAGTTTTCCTCTGTTTGGGTGCAGTTTTCTACTGTCAACAGCAGAAATTCTGCTGTTTGCTCATCCGTTTTGAGTAGGTTTGCTGGCGAACTCAAGTAGTACCTTAGGGTTACTTGCGGACTCAAGTATTTCCTATCAAATTGGTATCAGAGGATTGATTTGGGACCGCCAGCGGCTGAAATCTTAAACACATTGTTTGGAGGGAATTTTTGAATTAGAAGGGTATTTAGGGAATTTGTATCCTTCCTTTAGCCTTAATTAGGGAGTAATGAGAGAATTAGGGTTTTTATCTTGAATTTGAATTGTCATTTGAGATCTAGTTTTTCTTGCTTCGGGCTCTTGGTGTTGCCGGAGATTTGGAGAGTTGTTCTTCCTCTCGGATCGAAGAACATTGTATCGTTTGCTGTTTTTATTCATTCACTAGTGGAATAAAAGTATTTGATTGGTTTTCTCTCGGATTTCCTCCAGTTTTCCTCTGTTTGGGTGCAGTTTTCTACTGTCAACAGCAAAAATTCTGCTGTTTGCTCATCCGTTTTGAGTAGGTTTGCTTGCGAACTCAAGTATTACCTTAGGGTTACTTGCGGACTCAAGTATTTCCTATCAAATTGGTATCAGAGCATCGATTTGGGACTGCCAGCGGTTGAAATCTTAAAATTTCAGCGAGATTTTTTTTTCCAGAAGAAGATCTTCGTGTTTCTTGGGGAGATAGATGGCCGAGAAGAAGGTAGAGATCTTGGAAGGCAAGATCGGTCAACTAAAATCATATTTGGAGGGAAATTTCTTTAACTTTCAAACTCAAAT